GGTCAGAAGCTACGCCATCGGTTCGCAAAACTACGGCGGGAGACCTTGTACTGAGAAGAACCAGCAAGAAACTCAGCAAGGGCTGCTTTTTTCTCCCTGTATTATATACAGGGTGTTACAAAAACACAAATAAAGCTTGAATGGCTCCGAAGCACATCACACAAGGAGTCCCCTCCAACTTTCCCAAAATACCCGCATGCAGTTCCAACCCCCTACGAAACAGAAACAGTAGTAGCACAGAAATCAGGATTAGTAGCGAAGAAATTTGCAAAGTATCTCTTATCTATTAGACAAGTCCGTCCGTCCGTCCGTGGTGCTGTTTCAGCGGCCAAACCGTAAGAGATAGATAAAGAGAATATTTAAGTTATAAGTTAAGAATAGTCTGATAAGACTACAAACCGGATTTGAGTAACGTAGCACTTCCGGGTTTCGAGAAATCACGAATTTCAAACGAAACCACACAAAATCTCCGAAGTCCTCAATTAATTAATTTTTTTTTTTAAATCAGGTTTTGGTGAACATTTGGTTCACTGGTTTGCTAGTTATACTATAAATTCATCGCAAACGTAAAAAAAATTGACCTTCAGATGATTACATAGCATACACAAAGTTGACGTCACACAGTAGCCATTATCGAACTGAGCGTTTAGGCGGTAAATTCAAAATCATTAAAAATAAATTCAACTTTAATTGGTCTAATGGAGAAAAAAAGACATTATTTAATTTATTTTAATTTTTCTGTTAAATCGTTTGTCCCAATCTTTAAATAGAAGCAGTTTTCAAAAATTTGGAAAATACCCTATTGATTAATTATTATGGCACCGCATTTCTTTAAAATGAACAACCAGTACTTATCTGATGAGGTAGTGTCTACACATATTATATGTACCTAGTCAGGTCATAAATAACTAAGAACTGCTGTAACTTATGTCGGTGACCCTTATAAATAAATAAAAATAAAATAAAAAGCAATATATCAAGTCATCTTTCACCACATGAATAAAACAAAGATAATTAACACAAGATCGATAGAAAAACTTCAGACTAACCATGAAGGTCGTCCAAAATAATATAATGTCATAAATAAAATTAATACCACTATCAAATTATTTCTGGAATCTGATTACTAAGGGCAATGATCGGGCAATAAATTTAAATACATAAATCATGATTGCATGAATCAGACTGATAAAAGTATATAATTCACATTTCGGGTTAATCAATGTAAAGTCATTGATGAATATCAAGTCGTTGTTAAAGTGAAGCAAGTGATAAGTTGGTAGGCTAACCCATCGTCGGAATTTTATCTTTTATGAAAATTATTGTGTTCACAAAAAGCCGCATCTTCTTGTCAATGAAGACCATTATTAGGTCAGCAAATCAACTCAAAATCAACAGTATAATGATCTATAAAGCTTTTATATAAATAAACTTTTTAAATCATCGAAATCAGTTTATTCGTTGCGATTTTAGAACTAATTTTATGGTAGCCAATATTCACCGGCGGCCGAAACGTGTGACGTCACAGAGCTCGATCGTGGTTCACTCCGGTTGAACTTTAGTATTGTTTCTACGCATGCTCCTACGCAGCTAGAGCTCTGTGACGTCACAGTTACCACGCGGCCAGCCGAAAATTCATTTATTAATTTGATCATAACTTCGTCAATGTTTGTCGTGGAATAAAAAAAATGTGTGCGTGTACTAGTGTACACACGTAAGAAGTGAAACTTCTTTATGGCCTTATTTTTTTCGAAAAATGATCTACATGCAACTTTCCAGAAATATATATATAGGCGTGCGCTAAGATTTTTCAAAAACTCACCCACTAAAGGGGTATAACTACACCTTACCTTACCTTACCTTGTGTGAAACACGAATATTTGCTGTCGATACTTTTTTTTTTAAAGTTGAAAAAAAAGATGGCGCGTAACCAAAAAACGTAACGCGTAACCGAAAAAATGTGACGGTAAATTTTTTTCCAACGCCGATAAAGAAGTTTCACTTCAAAAATTACCACTGTATTTTATGGAATCCTTAGCTCTATAAATCTGCATTCTCAAATCTAAAATCGTTATGGATCCTCATTATCTCCACTACAACAGTCCGCTCCACTATCGAAACAAATCTCCCCTTACTACAAAAGGCGGACTAAAGTTACTCTTGGTATTAGGTTTAAACTAGTTATCTGATACTGATACTGTTTGTCTGACTAAAACTGATACTGTCACTTTTGTTTGCTTTTATCAGTTTTAGTCCTGGTTTAACTTAAGTCTACGTATTATAGTAAGGTCGCTTATGTTTGATTTAATATAACTACAATAGAAGGACTACCACAACTAAGTAAATGTTACTAGATAATATTATATTTATTTCTAGCAGTTTCGCTATTTTTTTTAAAACTATATTTAGATATTTTATTAAATTTAGTATTTATTAAAACCACTTAAGTCTTACAATGTTATAAAACCAAATTTGAATATAGATACATTAATATATACATATTTACAAATTCCTAACTTTGCTCTTTCGCTTAGTATTATCATAAATCGCGATGGAATTATCGCTGACCAAAGTCTGAATACTTATACATTTTCGATATTGATGACGGTTGAAGATGTAGGTAGAGGCCCTTAGCCGCGAGTTTCGAGCTCAAAAGACGAGGAATTCGAAGGGCTTTAAGATGATGTAAAAATGTTTTGGAAAAGTTGTTTTCATTTTTTTATAATCTATTATATATGGTACATTTATTTTTAACGCCCTTTCAAGTTGTGTAGAGTACGAGATCTGTAAATTTTCGAGAGAGGCATGATGGCACAGTTGATTACGGCTTTTACTTCGCGGAGCCCTGGAACCATACTCTCATCAGCGGAAACAAATATATGATACCCAGATTTAAAGGTGTGGGGGCTCTGAAGCTCCGAAGGAGTGGAAGCCCCGAATCTCGCACCCGGGGCATACAATTTGTATCCCATCGTTGCTCAAAAATTGTACGTGACGTCCTGCGATATTTCATATCAGTATATCACTTTGATTGTTTCTATACGGCATTGACATACGGCGTTATATTCTGGGGAAATTCAGTTAATGTGAACTCAATTTTTATAATGCAGAAAAAATGTTTAAGAATAATCTATAATTTAGATCGAATGTATTCATTGAGAGATTTTTTTAGGACACATAAATATCTTACCTTGACATGTATTTACATTTTAGAAATTAGTTTGTTTGTTAAGAATAATATAAATATTTATTGTAAAACGAGCTCAATAAGGACAAATGTGAGGTCGCAATATACTAATAACTTGTGTTCGATTCCAGTCTCAAGTTATATATTAGAAAACAGCACATACGTAGCTGCTATAAAGATATTTAACCACTTACCTGTATGTATTAAATCTGCAAATGGCATTCAATTCAAAAATAAAATAAAAAAATGGCTAATTGAAAAAAGTTTTTATAATCTTAAGGAATTTTATGACAGTAAATCTTAATGATTTTATTTTTAATTAATTATTATAAGATCATAATTTTATTTTTATATTGATTGAATGCAAATTATAATTTTAACTTATGAAATTAATTTTAATTGAATATTATTATTATTTACTTTAATTTGAATTTTTGACATTGTAAAAGAATTTCAATTAACTATTGACATTGTACGTCCGAAATGGGCAGACTGTTTGGATCTGTATTTTAATACATAATGTTACCACCTTATTGTACCCAGTTTAAACAATGAATAAATGAATCTGAATATTATGGAAAATAGGAAAAACTGCGTGTCCATAACTCTTTGATATTAACCTACCTGGTGGACGAAGAAACAGAAGTCGGTCACCATAGCTATTGCTCGTAACACAATGGCAGACAATACGAGGTCATTACGAGGGCGGGGCAGGCGCGTCACAGTTACGTGTGACTTAAACTTGATTGGGTCTTTGCTCTCGAGTGTGAGCGCCGATTGGTTCGGTTGTTTGATGTCGCGCCGTTTAATTGGCTATTATCCACTAGGTGGTAGCGTAGGGTCGATGTGCCGGCGACATCGGTTCCCGTTCAAACGAATGAGGGTGTTTATGAAAATTTACGTCACCAGTTGGCGCCACTGTGTCGTGAGGTCTTTTGTATGAAGTTTTTAGCGCCAACTCCATAGACTAGATTCATAGACTATGAGATCATATGCGATTTGACGGATGATTAGACCTTTCGTCTCAGTACTGCCACCTGGTGCCCGTCATTCCAAAAAACCCTCATTATAATCACCTCATCATCATCGTCAGCCTATTAATGTTCCCACTGCTGGGGCACAGGCTTTCCCTATGGATGGAATAGGGAGTTCTGGCCATGACCCACCGCGCTGGCCCAGTGCGGATTGGTGGGTGCTAACAACTGCAGATGCAGCCGGGACCAAAGGCTTAACGTGCCTTCCGAAGACCGGAGGAGCTCAAGATAGTAAATTTTTGGTCACCCATCCAGTGACCGACCACTGCGAGAGTTGCTTAACTTCAACGCGAGGTTGCGACCGAGCCCATGTTTAGTAGTTGTATGGCGCGGTCACTCACCCTGGTGGACTCCCTGGGTTTGGGCACGCCGAGGTGGTGGTACAGGCGGCGTGCCCCATGAGGCGTCACTCACCCTGGTGGACTCCCTGGGTTTGGGCACGCCGAGGTGGTGGTACAGGCGGCGTGCCCCATGAGGCGTCACTCACCCTGGTGGACTCCCTGGGTTTGGGCACGCCGAGGTGGTGGTACAGGCGGCGTGCCCCATGAGGCGTCACTCACCCTGGTGGACTCCCTGGGTTTGGGCACGCCGAGGTGGTGGTACAGGCGGCGTGCCCCATGAGGCGTCACTCACCCTGGTGGACTCCCTGGGTTTGGGCACGCCGAGGTGGTGGTACAGGCGGCGTGCCCCATGAGGCGTCACTCACCCTGGTGGACTCCCTGGGTTTGGGCACGCCGAGGTGGTGGTACAGGCGGCGTGCCCCATGAGGCGTCACTCACCCTGGTGGACTCCCTGGGTTTGGGCACGCCGAGGTGGTGGTAGGCGAAGGCGGCGTGCTCCATGAGGCGGTCGTAGGCCACGTGCACCGGCACCAGCGTCACCTCCGTCACCGACCCCGATAACAGCGGACCCAGCGCCATCGACAGCATGCCTGGTATACAGTATGTATACAGTACACCACGTCCACTCTCACTCATTTTTGAAGTGGCAACTTCTTATGGAAGGGTTGACCGCTTGGTTACGTACTTAGATTAAAACAAAAAGGGTAGATACGGCACTAGCCTCACAAAAGTGATCCGCATGAATTGTGGTCCACGACCCTAATCGCTTTAACAGCGCTTTAGTCACAACTTGACATGCAAACGACGTACATGTGTACGCCAAAAAGAAATATTGCTAATATTTTGTGTTTATATGATAAAACAATGCCTAAGTATGTTTTTAAAAAATGCTTAAATTGCTCAAGAACTAAAAATAAAACCCACGGCATCACTTTTCATTCGTAAGTACTATAAAATATATTTTTTCATAAAAATTGCTGTTTGTTTTGAATCTTATTCGGTAGTGACGTCGAGTACTGGTCGCGTGATTGGTCGGTAATGCAGTGAAGCGGATCTCGCCGTCCCATTCGCGCTGCCGTTGAAACTTAAATTGCTGTTTCGTTCGTTCTATTGTATCTTTACAAACAGGTGGATGTGTGAGTGTCGCATATGTAGTAAAGTGGGATCAGTTTTTGTTTGATGCAAGTATGAGCGTACCGTATCTACCATTTTTGTTTTAATCTAAGGTTACGTATAGCATTTCAGCGACAGTCTCTCTGGCTTCTCTTCCTCTCTCACATACAGCAGCGGTAGGTAGGCTTCTTGTCTCCGACTCTAACCCGCAGCACCGCTTAGATTAGTTTAAGTTATTACGTCTGTCGTGTTTTTTTGAAGTGCAACTTCTTTACGCACGCTTGACTTGGGGGGTAAGCTGGCGAATGCGTTACGCATTTCGTAAAGTGTGTTCGAGCGAGGCGAACGGGAGTTGAGTGGGGGATATAAGCAAGAGAAAGCAGTGCGCGCGCACATTTTCTTTCTCTTTCTCTTATAGCTAGTAAATCAAATATATATATATATACATACATGTATATATTGTACACAGACAGATATCTAATATATAAAATTCTCGTGTCGCGGTGTTTGTGGTTAAACTCCTCCGAAACGACTTTCCAGATTCTCATGAAATTTTGTGTGCATATTGGGTAGGTCTGAGAATCGGACAACATCTATTTTTCATCCCCCTAAATGTTAAGGGTAATCCGCCCCTAATTTTTTTTTCAATTTTAGATATTTTTTATTTTTTTATGATACAGCATTAGGAAATACATACAACCCTAAAGTTTCACCTTTCTACCACCAACCCCTATTTTTTTATGGCGATACGAAGTTCGCTGGGCCAGCTAGTATATATATATATATATGTGTGTATATATATGTATATTCATACAGATGAAGCTAAAGAAGTTTTCAATTCAGTCGTGTGGTCAAAAGCACACTCGTGTTTTTTTTTTTATTTCACACACTTTTTTTATTTGCTTGCGAAAGCAGACAACACCTTCTGTTCAGTGGGCATCGTCGCCCATGGACATTGGCGATGCCGGTGACACAGCCATGCCGCTGCCTTTCATAGATTAATTTATTTAAGCCTCTCTTGAAGAAGTCTAGGTTACAGTACTAAGGGAACACTGTGCAGGGTAATTTACTCCATACATTCTCATTATAGTATTATCTACAGCCTGCGATTTCGATCGCGTTTTATAGTTGCTTTTATTAGAATCGTACACAAAATTCACAATTTTCATAATAAACGAATTCAGACATTAAACTACAGTAAAAAATCCGTATTCGCGCTTCCTTTATTCAAAGAGTTCACCGCGACTTGCGTTAGCTTCACAGTCGTTTTTAATTTTAAATTGCACTATAAATACCCTACCTCGTCCGATGTGAAGTGTGAGTGGTATAATTAACCGATGCAGTAGATAAATTAACAGTAGTAATTAATGATTTACTAAGGGGCTGAGTATGAAAGTACCTTATGCTCCAAATATGTATTGCACCAAACAATGCCTGTATGCAATACATATTTCATTTACTAGCTACAAGAGAAAGAGAGGAAGAAAATGTGCGCGTGCACTGCTTTCTCTTGCTTATATCACTCAACTGCCGTTCCTATCGCTCGACCACACTTTTCGTAACGCGTAACGCATTCGCTAGCTTACCCCCCAAGTCAAGCACGTGTAAAGTAGTTTCAGTTCAAACAGCGTATGCGTCTCGGGACGCAGGACAAAAGCGATAACTTTAACTTATCTAAACGGCGCTGCGGGTTACAGTGAGAGAGGACGAGCCTATCGCTGCCGTATGCGCGAGAGAAACGGAAGCCAGACAGACTGGCGCCGTAACGCGTTACGTAACGAAGCGGTTTACCCTCCCATTAGAAGTTATCACTTCAAGAAGTGCATAAGTACAAATTTCTGGATCCTGTCTACAGTTAATAATAAAATAATGTGAGCCGTCACGAGACGCTTGGCAGATGTGAAACACTAGTCGGTTTGCGATAAATACACTCGGAGAAATGCTCAGGATGCGTGCAATAAAAATGACATAGGTCCTTCCTCGAAGGGCGCTGGCGGCGTTCTGTTCGGCCGCCCGTAAAATACTATAATATACCAGTACCCCTAGCACGAACAATTATCGAATTGGAATAGTTTGCAAACCGAAATGTCAACGGAAACTTGAACAGCAGCGGTACAAATTACGTAACGAGAACTAAAAATCAGTACACATTTGACAATGACATTTCGGACTCGCAAACGATACGTATTCGATATTGCTTCGTGCTAGGGGTACTGGTATATATAGCACTTTACGGACGAGCGTCGAAACACCAGAAATCGGTTTCACGTGTGCTAAAAGATGTTTCACATCAAAAATGGCAACCGAAGCCAATCATGGTAACTATAATAGCACACACTATGCTAGAACAGACTGGAGACACTCACCAAACTTGGGCGGCAGAGTCTTGTTACTCCTACTGCGGGTGCCCTCCAGGAAGAACTCGATAGGCGCGTCGTGTCTCGCGACCAACGTGCGCACGTACTGCCGCAGCGTGTCCGCGTACAGCGCCGACCCCGACAACGTGCGCCGAATGTAGAACGCGCACGTGTCGCGCAACACCCGCCCCATCACCGCCATCGAGTAGAAGTCTACCGGAACCACACTACTGCTCAATTGCAGACCGATACACTACTGACTAGAACTTCACACCATCGAAAAGTTCAATTTTTAAGATAAGTAAGTAGCTTGTTGAGAAAACATAATTACAGTTTAAATCTAAAGAAAATATAACTAGAAAAATATCCACGCGGACCGGGCAGCAGACGGGACTCGAACCCGCAACCTTCGCTATCCAGGCGAATGCACAGACCGATTATGCTACCGCGACCCTGACGGCCGCGTCGAAATCCTTCTAACCATTCTTAATCTGCAAGGCAGCGCCATCTCTTCGCATTGTAGGTATATTGTATTTTCTAGTTATATTTTCTTTAGATTTAAACATCAAGCAGTTACAGTTACAGTTGTTCAGAAAATAATAATAATGGCGAAGGAATCCTCATGCAAAACAGGCGCCATAAGGACGTCGCATTGCGGAAACGCGCGTTGCAAGAAGAAGAATAATTGCTAAGGAACTCGATGACGCGAGTGGTTGGATCCTTGGAGTTAAATGACTTTCACAGCGGTCCATCATTGGAAGCTAAACCAAAAATTTACTATCTCGGGCTCCTTATGTTATGGAAGGCTTGTTGAGCTGTTGCTCCTGGTGGCATCTACTAACAACTGCACCTACCAAGGGCACTGTGGTAGGTCATGGCCCAATCTCTCTTTTCCATCCATAGGGAAGGCCAGTAGGGACATTAATAGGCTATGATGAATAGAAGAATTCCAATTTATACTATATAATTATGTCACATATAATTTCAAACAAATTCAAAATTAATTTTGAATACAACTAGGTAAACAAAAAAATTTACTGACTAGGTCTTTTATCATAATAAATCCAAGTATCTCTTTTTCTAACCCGTTTAGACCCAAACACAAATTCAACTAAAAAGTGGAAAATTTTATAAAGGAGCACAAGTGCACATACCCATTCCAGAAGCTACTGCTGGAAATTCTATGTCATAGTGGTAACACAGGTATGTGAGGATGCAGAAGTCGGCATAACTTCGATGTGTAGGCAGAAACAATACAGGATTTTTCCCCATGGCAGATTTTATCTGTATAAATATTTACATAAAATCACATTAAAGGAGCAAACTAAACACTTGTTTTCATTCATAATATGTATGAAATACACAACTCTTTTGATTTTTACTTTAAAAATACTTTAATAGCCCCCCCCCCCCCCCCCCTTTAGGCATATGTGTGATACGTAAACATCCAATGTGCCATTTGCTTAGTTTTAAAAGCTTAGTATGAATGTAATCTAAGGAGAAGAGGGTGTGGCTGAAAACCAGCGCTGCCCGAGTCATTCTGTAACGAAGCAGTTTATGCTGAGCTACATCCATTTGCTCTTCACGCTGTCATATCGCATTGTACTATGTATTCAACTGTGTATTACTGTGAGAGCAATAAAAATATTTCTATTCTATTCTAGTCTATTCTAATCAAAGAAAGTTTAAATAGAAAATTGAACCTTAATAAAATCTAGATGAAATCAAGGAGATATCTAGTTTATATTATGTATTTTGATAAATTAATAAGCATTTAAGTTATCAAATTTGTATTAAACATAACAATATCTATGGGAGATGGTTGAAGAATTAATTAAGAGAAACAGGGAATTGACAACTACACAAGTTTGTCAGACATTAATAAATATTTTGCTAGTCTAGATAAATTATTGTAGAACCTATTGGCCAAGCTCACACTTAGTGTTTTGAGGACAAAAATCATTTCCCCAAATAATGCTTGGTATTTATTTGCAGAGAATAGCAAAATTACAGCCAAAATTGGAGTCAGCCTGAGGGAGTAACTTCTTCTTTACAGAAAATAACTTTTGGTGCTTTTGCAAATATCATGCCCTTAACTCATAAGTTTGACATACCTTCAAGAGTGCAGGTTCATTAACATAAATCCCAACATTCATGTTGAAAGCAACTTTGAGAGCAAACATGCCCAACCATCGGATCACATACATTTTTTTGTCCAATCCAATCTCTTCAATGTATTCCAAAATTTCTTGTTTTAGCTTTTCTTTGCTGACACCAGTTTTAGCACTCTCCTATGTAAATACAAAAGTTTATTAGTATAACATTTATTTACATAATTAAGTTTTGTTTTTTATTAAAAAAAATGTGGATTCATCTTATTTATAATAATAATGATTTATTTTCTTCCATTACAAGCTAGGTGATAGTAAAAATAATGCATAACACTGAAGGTTGACTGGCAGAGAATGCTTTTAGCGTTAAGTCCGCCTTTTGTCCAGTCTGAAATAGTGCCAATAAAGTTGAAATAAATAAATTAAAAAAATAACACTGAAAAGTATATCAACTAGCCAGGAATGGAAGACAGGATCTAAGATAAGTAGACCCCATTCTATGGAATCTCCTGGTCTCCACCTCTCGAGGATATAAGAAGCGAAGGTTAATATATTGAATATACTACCGCTTCTATAGCATTTTCCAAATATAATGAACGAGCAGTAATATCTTTTAAGTCCTGTGGCGTGTATTTTTTGGATAATATTTGCGTTTTCTTGGGATGCCAGTCTCTTGTCATAAATCTGAATATACCACTTTGTGTCCGTCTTGGTTCTAAAATATCTACGAAATTGCTTTTTTCGTGCATTTTTATTTTATTTAAAACTTGTCAAGGAGGTTATTAACCTCCTCTGTAACACCGTGCACAAGTAACTTCACACTGACACAATTGTTTTATATTATAAATATAATTAAATGAAATGACTGTCTATTTTATTTCAAAATGTTTGATTCAAATTATTATTAAATATTATAAAAAATCCGATGCACTTCCGATGATCCAAAGAAAACAACCTTTGGCGTTTTTTTTTTTGTTGAATTTCTCCCGTATTAGGGAAGGCAAAGGGAACAATGCCCATACAGCCTAGTCTTTAATTAAATTAATCTTCTTTTTGTTTTTACATTAGAATGTCGGTGTGACGCATTCTAATGTTTCTTGGAGTGTTTGGCACGAAATGTATCGAGTTGGCCTTTTCGATAAGCACAACCTTTGGCGTATTCTGTCAAATTTGACATATAAACTTTTTTAGTTATATTTTTCTCTATTGAGAAAGGCAAAGGCATAGCCATGCAGCCATCGTCTTATTTTTGTATTATTCTTCCTTTTTTTACATTACAATGTGGGTGTGACGCATTCTTATGCTTCTTGGAGTGTTTGGCACGATCGAGTTGGATTTAGCAATTTGTGTTTGACGTTTCATCAGGGTTGCCAGATGAAATTTCATGATTTCCCCCAAACAGATTTTTATGTTTCCCAGAATGATACATTTTCTTAAAGAATAAAATCGCCATGAATGCTTTAATTTTATAGCATTACCTATTTTTTATTAAGAGTCTAAATTTTCTTACTCTTTTAAGCCAAGTTTAACTGCTAAATAAAATAAACAAACATGTGCTTATTTCCTAAGCACAGAAATAAATTGTACTTATGTTGACATCTTCAAAATCGAACATTTGAGGGTTAACGGGGTTCTAGGTAAAGGACGGCAGAATGATACCATCTAGAGAATAGATTTAATTTTGATGAAAGCTTCCGTTTAGGGAATAATTAAAAGCAAATATTTATTGATTTCTTTAACTTTTATTTATCAACTATCATTATAAGTAGTGAGCACCAATGCACACCAAAGCACAGTCACAGCATTTAAGTAAAAAAATATAGTTTCAAAAACTTAACAGCTATGCTACTTTGACAATATTATTTCAAACAATAAGCAGTTGTACCAATGACGAGTAGGTCAATGAGAACTTGGTGCCTTATCAAAGTAGAATTAACAAATTCGGTAAAAATCAATAAAATGTTGATTAACAATCGTTCAATTATTTAATATATTGTTATCATTACGAACAATGAATAAATGAATGATCAATATGGTTCCAAGCTTTCATCTCAGGTGGTAACGAAATTTTAATTACTCAGTCTAATATGTGTACAGTAACATAAAATTACAACTATAATAAACAGCAACATTCCCGTGACTAAAGTCTCCAAATACAAACTCTTCATACCGAGGCACTACGTATACTTTAAATAGCACGGACCCCGAAACACATGTGCGTACAAACTTATGAATTAGGGTTAGGTTAGGTTAGGTTAGGTTACCATTTTTTTTTAAAGACCAATTACTATTTTTGTGGTGATCATTTAAATAAGTGCCATTATTTTTCATATTTCTACAATTGTTTGGCATTTTTTGTTTCTTAGGTTTTCACGCACATCACTCATTAAATAAAACTAGTTTTTACGGGTTAATTCACGAAACTTTATTTATTTATTGACGTTTCGTAGCCTTTACAGGCTACGTCGTAAAGTTTGATTCTGACGACGTAGCCGAAACGTCAATAAATAAAGTTTCGTGCATTAACCCGTAGAACTAGTTTTATTTTTAAATAAGAACAATTATTTGCTAAAAATATGGTTCACATACTTCATATCATATCGTATTTTATTCATATCTACTTTCAAGCAGTTCTTCAAAGACTATACTGAGAAAAGACATATTGAAGTATCCTTTATATTGTATATTATGGTAATGAAAGTTGTTGGATTTGAAGTCGTTAGTCATCGTAAGTATAAAATTATACTAGAAAAAGTGTTGTAGCGATACCAAGTCAATTTGAAAAACACTGTAGCAATAAAAAATAATTGTTAATATTGTCCATGTATCGCGACAATCGGTGAAACTTCAACTCAGCCGGAAGCTATTGACCTACATATAACCATACTATCGATAATTAATCAATTTTAATCGATTGCGATAGATCAGTGTAGTTACAACAACAAAAAAATACGATATTCTTGATGTAATTATTTAATATAGAACTAAGACTTTAAATATGGAGAAGGTTATCGTTTCATCAGTATATTATTCAAAATAAATTCTCGACACACGAAAACTATCGCTATCGTAACAACACTAGTACTAAACCTTAAGTCATTTATGTAAAAAAAAACATACAGAATGTCATATTTAATAAAATCTATGTCTAAACCTATAGATATAAAATATGTATACAAAATACTTAATGTCACGGACATTACAAAAATAAATGTTTTATGGCACGGTGTTTTAATGCCATTTTAGGAAGCTATTGTTTTTGTAAGACTCCGCAATTTTTTGTGCAACGTTCCTATGGTTGCGATTGCAATACTAACTGTACTTCCTATTAAGTATTTTACAATTATAAATGCAATTATGAGTCAATGTCATCAAAATAAAAGCGATGATAACAGCGTGGGCTGTTATAATATTAAACATCGTCTGATTAACGGTTACATTCAAGTTAAAGGATACAAATGAAGATTAACTTGGTAGACACTTACACAGATTACAGACCAAAACGCAGATGGAGTGCAAGGGACACGCAATGCGTGGCACTAATGCAAATACGAAGTCAAAAGCGAATACAAATTCCCGTCAATACACTACAACGCATCGTGTTGTGAATAAGAGTGGTAAATATTAAGTTTATGTCAAAACTGTGTCGCTCTGTTCAAACGTTGTGAAAACTGTTCACAAAGATAAAAAAGTCTTTACTTAGGGCTTCGTATTTGATTTGGTGGCGCGCATTGCGTGTCCCGTGCGTTCCATCTGCATTTTGTTCTGTAATCTGTGTAAGTGATTACCAAGTTAATCGTCATTTGTATCCTTTAACTTGAATGTAATGTTGCTTTATACGGAATGAAAAGGGCAGACTGATCCCAAATTTACAAATAGCAAACCTGCACAGTCAATTGAATTGCCGCCATGATAAGTGAGTGACACATTGAAAGGAATGAGAAAAGATTAAGAGCAACACACATTGAGCCACTTATCACGGCCACTAACTAAGCCACTGGTGGCTTCGATTGGTGGCTGCGTCTAGTGGCTTCACTGATCTAATAGTTGTCTTGTTTAGTGGCTCAATGTGCGCTTACTCTGAAGCCGGGTCTCCAACGCCAAACCCATACTCCCATACCCATTTTCACTATGACGTTTCAATTTTGACATAATATTGTACTAAACTTTTGTCAAATTTGACATTTATTGCACCTGGATCGTAGTTTTTTAATTTAGCCTTGTGTATTTTGTGTTCGACAGCCACAGAGACGAACATTTGCGTATGTATTTTTGTTGAATATTTACAAAAATCTTTTGTTGGAGACCTGGCTTTACGTAAACATTACTTTCACAATATCGAGCCCTTACCGCCAAATTATCGTAAGCGACACTCGCCAAATTATCGTAAGCGACACTTTTGTCGAAATGCGTTTTTTGTGGAAACTAATATTTTAAACCGTAACGGAACCATTTCTGTTGATATTTCCCTCTATTCTTCCTTCTATTATATTATAACGGTGTTCTTTTGGAGGGAAATATCAACAGAGATGGGTCCGTTACGGTTTAAAATATTAGTTTCCACAAAAAACGCATTTCGACAAAAGTGTCGCTTACGATAATTTGGCGGTAAGGGCTCGATATGGTTACGTAGGGCTGGCAAATTTAAATGCATACAAATATTAAAACCAGTCGATTCTATAACACATGTCAATGTTTTAATAACACAAATTAAATGCAAATCTGAATACATCCTAGTGCACCTTGCACACAAGTTTGTCATGACTTAAACAAAATATAACTTCGACACAAAGCATTTCATTTGGCTCAGCATGTTGCCTCCTGTCTATAATGGAATAGATTCAGTGACTAATACAAAAAAAGGCCTTATTACTCTGTCCCGATATCATATTTAATGTGATATACTTTAACGATTATGTCATATTCTACGGCTTATCGTAATCACAGCAGCATGGCCTGGGGGCCGATCGCCTAACAGGATTGCTGTGTCTAACGCTATCAGTTACGTTTTTATTATGTTATTTATGACCCCCCGAAAGAAGAACAAGTTTTTCGAATACCTCACGCTCATTTTTTTAAATATTGTTATTAGCAATGCAAAATAAAAAAAGTAGCGTGAGGCATTTGAAGACCTTCCGTGGTCAGAAATAACAAAATGAAATCGTAAGCAATAGCGATAGCCATGGCCTCCTGAACTTATCAACTAAAAACAGTGATATCACCAAATTAGGAAGGCACGTAGCTACCTGACGTGGCACTCGTGGTCGTAGGATCACATGTATTTGGTACAAAGACTAAAATAGTATACAGATCAACTGTAATTATTTGTTATATTTTAACACACTTTTTCTTTACTTATTTTATAATATTATACTTCGTGTTATAAGAGTAAGATTTTTGAAATGTAAAGAAATCCAAAATTCTATTTAATTGGTTCAAAGCCAATGCAAAAGTATAAAGTATTTTTGATTGTAATTTGTATGCTTTTATAATTATTATTCTTGTTTTTTTATGTGGTTTATATGGCTAAATGGCTGAAATAAATGAATTGAATTATATCTAGTTAGTATCTATAAAGATATGATACGGAATAATTCAGCACCACCGACTAATGTATGTTTGGTCATTCTCTTACAACTAAGCAAGTCATTTTATTGACTTGAATAAAAAGTAAACAAATCACTTACAACTAGTATAGGCACATAAAATAAAATAAACATTATTCAAAAAATAATATAAACTAGTTGTCAACTAACAATTCTATCTTGTTTTTAAATACTCAACTGCTGGAGACGACGATTTCAATGATTTGATTTCGTTCGGCACGAATAATAATTTTGGGCCGGCACTATACATCGTTCTTCGTATTTGCTATACAATGACAAGACTCTTTTGGGGTCATCCATAAAGTGCGTCACACTAATTTCGTGGTTTCTTTACTCCCCCCCCCCCCCCCATCCTTGCCACAGTTTGTCACATTTATGAGTACTACACATGTGACGTCACACTAGGGAGGATGATCTCCCTAGTGTGACGTCACATACTTTGCATCTAGAAATGTATGAATTAAAACAGCATTTCCAAAAATTAGCCAACTAATTAAAAGCCATACAGATAAGAGTTCTAAATATTTTTAAGTGTTTTGATAATAATTAGATTTTGAAATGTGACGTCACGAAACTTAGAACTCCTATTACCCCTTGTCACACTTCCTCAACCCCCTCCTCGTGTGACGTACTTTGTAGATGACCCCTTTTCAATTTAATTAATTTTTTTGTGATTATGGCTGCGTCTCATTATGTGGCGATAAGTCTCCTTCTATTCCCCATAAAGTATGATAAGGACAACCTGCTGTCAAAATGACAAATACGAATAGCCACGTGAAAAGTCGGCATTATGTGACTTTCAAATGTCAAACAATGTAAAGAAATGAAAAAAAGCTGTATTATTTTAAAAAGGAAATAAATCGATGTGTTTTTGTTATAGGATAATGTGTTAACACATCCCATTAGATTCCGCATTACTCAATTTTTGTTTAAAATCGAAATTGCCAAAGTTGAGAGTTGAAAAACTTGGAGTAAGGCACGTTTTGATTGGCTACGTCAGTATGACGTCACAGGCGGATGAAAAATTATAAGCAAACTTGTATTGCGACAATTAGACCTAGACTTGGCACGATTTCAAATAGAAATTGAGTAATGAGAACTCATCAGTGCGGCCAACGATAGAGTGCAATCCTGACAGGTACTTATGGAACTACTTATGGCGACAGAATTTGTGTTTATTTTCTGGCATATTTTTGCGTAGACCAAAAGTCTACATTGAAAACAAGAAACAAGTCTTATTCGGACAATCATAGACAAGTTATTTTAGACACTACAGTGGTGTCGATTCTGGTATGATTTTCTAAACCTTATCTTAAATTTGACAACAGTGTTTCCATATCATTCTCTTCTCTTTACAGAACGAAAGGAGAGACTGATGTTAGATTAAGTTTAGAAACTTATGCCAGAATCGATACCACTTTGGCCATTGATTAAATCTCTAAATCATTATTAAAAAAGATATCTATTTCTTTGGCTGTAAGAAAGTGACGCGATCTATCAGAATTTAATTCTTCTCTCGGTTAAAGTGTTAGTGCGACAAGGATCTCTATGAATGTGAGTTCAGGGAGGGCGCCACTGTCTTTGTTTGAAGTGAGTGACACACAAAATATGACGTTCATTATGAGCGTGACGAGAATTGGAACTAACGCCGTCGTCTTTGAAATCGTTACATTTTGTATGTCATTTACGTCAAATCAATCAGTCAAGACAATAGCCCCCTCCTTGAACTCTTATTCATAAAGATTCTCGTCGCATTGTACTCTGCAGACATTGGCTAAATCTCGAAGGTGTCATTAGCATAGAGGTATAAGAATAGAGTGGGGAAGGCGGCTCTAAAAGTTTCCGTCTAGTAGAAAGAGAAAGAAGACGATATACCGCTAGCTATCTCTCTCTTGTGACGCACGGCATCCAATGGCATCACATCGAAATAGTAAGATGCTTACGGATGCCAATGCGCATGCGCGATTAGAGAGACAAAGCTAGCGGTCTCTCTTCTTCTTTCTCTTTCTATTAGAGGGACAGTCTACATCTCCCCTACTCTATTCTCATACCTCTATGGACGAGAATCGGAACTAACGCCATCGTTTTCGTAAACGTCACATTTTGTATGTCATTTACGTCAAATCAGTCGAACAGGGAACTCATATTCACGGAGATCCTCGTCGCATTGCACTCCGGAGACATTGGCTAAATCTCGAAGTGTTACTAGTATAGTAATGTAATCTAATTCGGTCGGAGTTTTTGGCGGGATTTCATCAAGTGCGGTTGGCGTCTTATTTTAATAATTCTTAAATTTGTCCATAGTGGATATTGTGAAATAAAATTGGTATGATTTTGTGTTACCACCGTCTGCGCAACCGAAGAATCAGTGGACTCTTTAAAATAAAACGCTATTCCAGTCAAGCGGACGTGAGAATTTTATTATAGTATTGACTACCTCACAGAAGCTTATCGAAAAAGCCAACTCGATATATTTCGTGCCAAACACTCCAAGGAGCATTAGAATGCGTCAAACCCACATTCTAATGTAAAAAAAAGGAAGAAAACTTAATACAAAAATAAGACGATGGCTGCATGGTATGCCTTTGCCTTTCTCAATAGAGAAGAATAGAACTAAAAAAAACTAATTCGGTCGCCACAAGCGACACAGAGCTGTCAGGATCGCATTAGTCGGTCGGTTGGTTCAGTTGCCGTCGAGGTAAGGCCACTTTCAGGGCCAAGGGGGGACGAGAGAGGGACGGAGAGAACAACGCTCTCCCTCCCACTCTCGCGAGGGCCGCGAGTCTGTCCCGAGGGGGCCAGGCTCGCATCGCACAAGCTCTCTGGATGTCGATGCCCCTAATACTCCGGGGCATCTTATACCGCCACGTGACTCGCACTCCCGGTGCGCACTAGGAGGGACCGCGGTCCCTCATAATGCGCGCCGGGTGGCCGGTGCAGGTATCGGTGCGGTCTAGTTGCCGTCGAGGTGGTCGAGCCTCATATGCTGCAGCATGGGCTGTATGTCCCCCAGCATGGGCTCCTGCCGCAGCTGGTCGGCGGTGAGGCCGTAGTAGGTGCCGAGGTGCTGGCACAGGTCGATGTACCGGCGCCACTTGTCGTCGCAACGCAGCACGAGGGGATTGCCGATCACTATCACCTTTGCGCGGGCGCGGGTGATAGCCACGTTGAAACGCTGACGATCAATAAATGAATAAATAAATATTTCCAACGCTCACACCGATTAGTTTAGCTAGCCCCAAAGTAAGCACTGTAGGCTTGTGTTATGGGATACTGCGGTACCGGATAGAATACATATCCTGATACATATACAGGGTGTTACAAAAATACAAATAAAGCTTGAAGGACTCATTGAAGTACTTCATATGAGAAGTCTTCTTTAATTTTGTTAAGATATTTTCATGAAGTTTTTACTTTTTATAAAAACAGTTATTTTTAATGATCCTCGAACTAGTGACGTATCTTAAAATGATCGATATTTTTATTAATCATTATAAATTACTGTTTTTATAAAAAGTTTAAACTTCATGCAAATATTTAAAGAAAATTATAAAAGACTCCTTATATGATGTACTTCAATAACGCCCTTCAAACTTTATTTGTATTTTTGTACTATCCTGTATATATGTAAGTTATATTTATAAAGAAATACATTTTAAACATCCGTGACTGGAGTGCAAATGTTTGTATTCATCCCACAAACATTTGACCCCACTGGGATTCGAGCCCAGGACCTTTCGAGTAAGCGACACCTTGACACCGGACGTACAAACTACCCGGCTCCGGAGGTCGTCAAATGTACCATTATTACATAATTATTTTAAGTATTTAAATGCTAGAGTTTAAAATCTATAAAAAAAAACATGCGGATGAGGCAGCAGACGGGACTTGAATTAGTAATTTTTTTTTAGATTTATAACATCTAGCAGTTAAATGCTTCAAAGAAAATTGAAACATAATTTTAACTGCTATTGTTTTATTTCACTTATCAAAGTATTCATTTCACATTGTGTCTTGCAGCCTAAGAAATGCTAGAGAAAAATCGACAGAAGGGTGCGAGTTCGAGTCCTGTCAGCTGCATGGTTCACATGAATTTTTTTCTAACTTCTAACACTATAGTAATTTATGTTATTAACGGAATGATCACGGATACCCTTAAAACTTTTTACTATGCTTATATCAATTAGGTGCGAAAGATATTGTATATTGTCCAATAGAACGACAAAGACCGCGTCGTCTAAAAAGCACAAAACTCAATTGTCGTTGACGACTGTTGAAGCCAGTGGGGTCGATAAACAACATGGTTTTTTCAAGTTGATCTGAAAGGTATTATTACCTTGTCGTCGACCAGGAAGCCGAGCTGGTAGCGCGCGTCGTGGGCCAGCAGCTGGTGGTTGGCCCGCACGCAGGAGATGATGATGACCCGTTTCTCCTTCCCCTGGAAGGCTTCCACGGTGCCGGCCTCCACGCGGAAGTACCCGGCTGTTGACAGCCATTCCTTGGTCTTGTACACCTGCCACGGGTTACAATCGCGATAAAATTTGATATGTTTCCCCCCTATGATTCCTGTCCTGTCACGGTCGCCAGTAATATTATGGAAAGTGTGGATGAAATAGACAAATTTAAGGGAGATTGAACATAACAGGATAGCACAAATGGTGTCATTAAAAAATATTTTGTTTTGGTTTCCTGACATCTTGGTGTACCCGGTAATATATATATAAGGTGAAATTGAATGTTTTAATGAAACTTCGTGAGATTGTTGGATTACGAGTATAGAGTATGCCTGATTTTTTTCGGATTTTTTTGAAGTATTTTTTTTCATGTATTTATTTATAATTTGTGTATTTTTTTGTCCTTTCCTCCTTTTGAGTAGTTATTCATATTAAACAAACATGCTTACATATCCAGTGAAAAACAACTAATAAATAAGCACTTCTAAATAACGGAAAAACAGTAAAATTCCACCGCGGGTCAACGACCGACCGCGCCCGCCAGCCGTTGAGTGAGTAGGTACGTACACAGAGCTCAGCTGACTCGTTTGATTCCACACAATACAATAAAATCGTCTTAGATGCCTTTATTGAAATTGAAATAATAAGCACAAATGTCATCTTCTCTTAAGCAGAGAAAAACTTAAAAAGTTAATAATAATTTTGTCACGATTGGAAATAGGCAAAAGTTAAACAAAAAGAAATACTTATTGCAGTTCAATACTTGGGTCAGAATGAAATTTATTACCAGGTATTCAAAAGTACTTGCGAGACCGATGTACCTATTAATTTTTTTCTCTATAACTTCCCAATAAATCACCAAACCTACTTTCGTAAAGCCTTGTGGCTCTGCTGAGTATTCCGTGACACTCGCAATAACAACACACCATATCCAAATTCTTATATTGAGGGCACAGAACAAGAACTAATCAAGGCATTATTTGCAAATCTTGTCTTGTCACACATTTAAAAGATACGCACGCGCGCTTGAGACTCCGCTCGCTCACTGCGCTGTGCACCGCGCATACCTAGATAGGTAGGCAGGAAGGTATTCAACAAGGGAGCGGTCATTGCTCCCGGCCGCCCGTCTCCTGTTTTTACGTCTTTTTAGTAGTGCTTATTACTTGTTTTTTACTTACTCTGTATGCATGTTTTAAAAGAATAATTATTTAGTACCCAAAAGGAGGAAAGGACTTAAAATATAACAAAAAAAAAAACTAAATTTTATTTTAAATCATTTTTTAAAAAATCCGAAAAAATTCAGAGATACTCTATATACGTAACCCAACATTCCCACGAAGTTTCATTAAAACATTCAATTTCACCCTGTATATATAAAACTCAAAGGTGACCGACTGACATAGTGATCTATCAACGCACAGCCCAAACCACTGGTCGGATCGGGCTGACATTTGGCATGCAGGTAGATGTTATGACGTAGGCATCCGCTAAGAAAGGATTTTGATCAATTCTACCTAAGGGGATAAAATTGGGAATGAAAGTTTGTATGAAACTTTGTCAATTTTAAACCGATCGGACTGAGACTTTGTATGCAGGTATAAGAAGAATCATAGATGAATGTTATTGTGTATAATACAAGCCTGAGAACAAAAACTGTAGTCTACACTTTAGCTCTACACCGAAGCGAAGCGAGGGCGGGCCGCTAGTATACCATATGTGCGTACCGATGGAAAAATCGATGAAATTTATTTTTCCTTTTAAACCGCAGGGCAGAGCTAGTGGAATATATGCTTCAAAAAAATAAATAAAAAAAGATACATAATTTCTGAAATTCCCGGTACATGATGTCAGGATACCACAAAAATATTTGTGTTACTGTTTTAAAGATTATTGCGACCGTTTGGGGCACATGTAGCAGCAAAATTTTTGAGCAAAACCGCAGACAATTAAACTTGCGAAGTATACGTTTTTGTATGTGAAATTGGTACTGCGCAGGCTCCATTGTTCCAAATCATTGTTGAAAATCCATGTGTGTACCTGTCTGATGTAAGGCGCCACGATGCCGATCTCCTCCTCCTTGACGCCGTGGTTCTGGATCAACGCCTTCACGTACTTCTGGATCAACTCCAACTCCATCATGTTATAGTAACTAGTAACCAAATTAAATATACATAATTTAAACCATAAACTAACATTTAGAGAAAATTTTACTAGACAAAAAGTTCATGCAGTATACGGGACTCGAACCAGCACCCTTTGCTATCCGGGCGGATGCACTGTCCAATAGGGCATTTGATAGTATTAAAATAAAGTGCTAATTGTTTGCACTGTATTTAAAATGAATATTAGCAGGGGTTTTTACTATTATTGCAGATAAAATATTCATAATTTTACTAAAACCCCACGAAAGATAATAGATTTCATATCTATTGTCACGTGATTGAAAAAGCCTGGAATTGGCGGAGCCTAAAATGACGCCACACTAGTAAACTTCCGGTCAAAGTGACATTACATTGTATCGTTTGACGATTTAATGACAGTCGTGGACGTCACACCCCAGTGAGAAAAATCTTTACGTGTAGTTTAGCAATATAACGTGCTTTTGTTTGATTAGATGACCCCAAGGTTGAATGTAACACAGCAAATAGACATTCTCAGCGCTAAAATTTGTAAGACAAGAAAACTTTTTAGTTTATGCTTCATGTTTTTCCCACATTTGTGTCTAGCGTCTTTATAAATAGATAAATAAATATTTTCAACACTCACACCAATTAGCCTAGCCCCAAAGTAAGCACTGTAAGGCTTGTGTTATGGGATGCTAGGGGTAACGGATAGAATACATATACCGTACATATATAAGTATATTTACATAGAAATACATATTAAACATCCATGACTGGAGTACAAATGCTCGTATTCATCACACAAACATCTGCCCCCACCGGGATTCGAACCCGGGACCTCTCGAGTCGGCGACACCATGAAACCCGGCGTACAAACCACTCGACCACGGAGGTCGTCGTTTATGATCGCAATAAACGCAGGAGTGAAAAGTCATTAGTCGCTAGCGTAACCAACTATCGAGCTGCGTGACGATAGACACTAGGCGATAGCTTGTCTGGCTGTTTTTCCTCCGTAATCGTATTGTTATCATAAATTGTTATATGGAAGGATACCTCCTTGTTCTTACGTCAGGTACGGGGTAAACTTTGACGGAGTTGTCAAAATTACTGTTTTGGACCTCTGTACCCTTGGCACGAAGCAAATTCGAATAGTTAAATTCGATCTCGATTAATCCTCCTTGCGTCCGTTGTGGCGCTGCTAAAATTTCCATACAATTTTTTTTGACATTTGACACGTACCTAGATCGAATTCAAGTATTCGAATTGAATATTGGTTCGTACTAACGGTACAGTACTTAGAAGGTACGTTTACGAGTGTGAAATGTCACTGTCTAATCTTCTATGGAAACATGAAAAGCAGCGCCACAGCGGACATAACGAGAACTAAAAATTCGTACATATTTGACGTATATCTAGATCGAAATTAACTATTCGAATTTGATTCGAGCTAAGGACCTCAGTACCCAGTAGCTCGAAAGGGCAAGTGGCTAGCGCATTAGGCTGCGGTCGTTAAGGTTAAGCAGCTTTCGCAGTGGTCGGTCATTGGATGGGTGACCAAAAATTTACTCTCACTCCTCCGTGCTTCGGAAGGCACGTTAAGCCGTCGGTCCCGGCTACATCTGCAGTCATTAGCACCCACCAACCCGCACTGGGCTCGCGTGGTGGTTCATATTCCATCCATAGGTTCAGGAGGCCTGCTCTAATTCAATGAAAAACGAAATTTCGATCGAAACTTCGCACTTTTCCCACTTTGTTTCTGGTTCGTTTTCAATGGAAGTGTAGATTTTCTAAGCCTACTCGAAGAAAGCTTCTATTTGATAGTTTATCATTCAAATAAGTATAGCCTTAAATTGTCGAAATTAAACTTCGTTACCGAAAGGTCGTTTCGGAGAAACTGAGCAGACCCCCAGGCGTCTGCCCCAGCAGCGGGGATATAATATGCCGTCGATGAAGGGTAGTGATGGTTCAGTTACCTGGGCGACTTCCCGTGTCGCTGCTCGTGAGACAACACGGCGTGGAACACTACGGCGCGACTGTGAGGGCGCTCCGACAGTATGCAGCGAGAACTCAGCGCGTCCTGTCCGGCGCACGGCTGACCATACAAACAACGCAAAATTTCAGTTTAATTTAGTTATCAATTCGTCGTCCCAAATATGTAATAGGCATTCCACAAGTGTATTCTAATTTCGTGCTCGCCTGATGTGGGTAGCGTGGCTGAGCGGTCGAAAAATATAAATACACAGTTGTCCCACCAATGTGTGTCTCATTTACATTGCAATAAAGGTGGTTATTTATTAAAAAGTTCACTTGCATATTTTTTTGCGTGACTCATTTATAGCTTAGCACTGAATCCAACGCATAACTTCAGTTTAGTTTTTCAGGCCGGTTTCCGCACTCAATCCTAATAGGGTATGTGACAGTATGAAATGAAAAAAAAATAAAGTACCAATCGTTGGCATCAGTATTTCATATGAATATTTGCAGCGATTTTACTATTCCGAGAGAACGAAGTGTATCATAACTTTTACTAAAAAATCATTTAATCACAATTTTTTTTTGCTCTATGGTCACAGGACTGATTATGGGTGTATGCCGTAATATATACCAGAATACTTATCTATAAAAAAACTATATCTTTTTGTGACTTTAATCAATTTAATAATGTAACGAATAAAAATGAACGCATGTTCTTGTACTCTCTAATATGGAAAACATTAAGGTATGTGGTGCTGAACCATTGTCTCGATTAGATGAACACCATCCTCCAATTTTTATTGATATTCCTAGTATCAAACCCCAGACCGAGTTTGTGAGGCCAGTTAACATTAAAAGACCAAATTTTCGTAAATGCAATCTTTTCAATATCGAAATTGAGCTAAGTTCTACAAATATTGATTTCTATTAATATAATGGTTGACCGTTTTTATGAAGTAATAAATAATATCATTTCAAAGCATACACCTATGATGACTTCCCACAAGAGTAATAATTTATCCAATCTGGTTCATTTCTCCTCTAATACGTTGCTTAAAAGAAAAGTCCAAATATCATAAACGTTTCAAGCAATTCAGAAATCCTAGAGATTATGACACATTTAGTTTATTGCGGTCTAGGTGTAAAGGCTTAATTAAACAATGTCGAAATAGGTACCTCACATCGGTGAAGGATTCCCTCTCCAAAGATGTTAAACATTTTTGGAGATATATTTCACACACAACGGGTAAATCTACTATTCCAATTAATATGAAATACGGTGAAACGCAGACAACCGACGCGAAAGAGGTCTGCGAGCTATTTTCCCGATATTTTGGCAGTGTGTACAATGAGAGCAATAGTGATGAAACTGCTGATTTGCCTCTGCAGTGCCAAAATGGTTTAAGTCTGGGGCAATTGAGTGTGACGGAGGATGACGTACGTAGTTAACTGAATAAATTGGATTTTTCATCAAAGCTTGTAGCAAAGAGCTTATTTCTCCTTTGAGTATTATTTTTAACAAATCTCTTGCTTTTGGTGTGTTTCCGGAATGTTGGAAAGTGGCACATATAGTTCCTATTCACAAATCGGAGATAGAACACATTCTGCGAACTATAGGCCTATATTCTTTCATGTTTTGCAAAACTGTTTGAATCATTGATTTATGACTTTCTTTACAGTCACTTTAAGCAACTGATAATTCCTAAACAGCACGGGTTTGTGCCAAATAGATCCACTACCACTAATTTATTGGAATATAAAAATTATCTTTGCTGTTCGTTCTCCAAGAAAGGACAGGTAGATAGTATTTATACGGATTTTACCAAAGCCTTTGATAAAGTTAGCCACAACATGTTATGCAAAAAACTTGCTTACTATGGAATACATGGTAGCTTACACCGATAATTTAAGTCTTATCTTAGTCGGAGAAGCCAGCTAGTTGCAATTAAGGGTTATTTGTCAGCACCGCTCGTTGTCACCTCTGGTGTGCCCCAGGGATCGCACCTCGGGCCCCTATTTTTTGACGTTTTCATAAACGGTCTTATAGAACGCTTAACGTGTCCATGCTTGCTCTATGCGGATGATGTCAAGATGTTTATGACAATAAAAAACCAGAATCATGCGGAGGTTCTGCAGGAAAATCTGAACATCCTCGACCAGTGGTGCACTAAAAACGACATGCTATTAAATGTTGACAAACCTTTTGTCGTATCCTTCACTAATAAAAAGCACCAACTTCTTTATGACTATAAATTGCATAGACATACTCTCGAGCGAAGGAATGTTGTCAGGGATCTTGTTGTCTTCTTTGATGAAAAGCTTACTTTCCGAACTCATTATGATCACATAATAAACAAGTGTAATCGCACACTTGGTTTTATTTTGCGTCGTACAAGAATCCAGAAAGTCTAATTTACTTATATAAAACTCTTGTAAGAAGTGTTCTCGAATTTAATACCGTCATTTGGTCACCGTTTTACAATGTTCATGTGCAGCGCATAGAAGTAGTTCAACGTAGATTTCTCAGGATACTCTGCTATCGATATGGGTTTCACAGAAAAATTAAGCGTTACGAGAACTGGATGACAAGGTTTAATATGCAGTCCCTTGAGTCTCGTCCTAAGTATTTTGATTTAAACTGCCTATATAAAATCGCTAACTCGCACATGGATAGTCCATCGCTTCTCTCGCTTCTGAATTTTAATATTAGATACAAGTCTCGTAGTCCTAAATTTTTTGTACTTCAAGTATTCACTAACAATACTTCTTATTTTAATCCGTCACGATGTGTTGTGCCTATAATGAGTTAGTTGGTATATGGATGTGGATTTGTTTAGTCTCAATCCGAATCAATTTAAAAAATGTGTTCTAGAAATCGTAGGCCAAGCGCTTTAATACAATAAGATTTTTTTTTAGCTTGATTTATTTAATTAAATATGTACTTGATAATATCTTATCGAGGAGCTCGATGGCGCAAGTGGTTAGCGCGTTCGGCTGCGATCGTTGAACTTAAGCAACTTTCGCAGTGGTCGGTCATTGGATGGGTGACCAAAAATTACTATCTCGAGCTCCTCCGTGCTTCGGAAGGCACGTTAAGCCGTTGGTCCCGGCTGCATCTGCAGTCGTTAGCATCCGCCAATCCGCACTGGGCCCGCGTGGTGGGTCATGGCCCAATCTCCCTATTCCATACATAGGGAAGGCCTGTGCCCCAGCAGTGGGGACATTAATAGGCTGATGATGATGATGAATATCTTATTTAATTGATTTGCTAATGTTCTGTTTTTATTGTAATGTAATATAATTTCATTAATGTAATATATGTAGTACATATATTTAAATCAATTGTAAGTAATTTTATCTAATCTATAGTATTCAATTTGTTTTTATTTGAATGAATTTAATTTAATGCAATGTAACGGTTAATATCAATATATTGTCCTTTGTTTTTTATAACGAAATTTTTTGTGTATGCATGTTTAGTGTTGCATATTTGATCGATTCCTCAATTATTATAAGTTAGTACTTTGTTGATTGTAACATGTTATGTATACCGAATAAATAAAATAAAAATAAAATACTGGCCAGTGCTAATGACGTCATGAATCGACGCCATACTGGTGAATTGTTCCGAAATATACTGGCCAGTGCAGTGACGTCATAAATCGACGAAATATTAAAAATAGTGCGAATAAAGAAGATTTTTTATTCACCTCAACAATTAAGAGAAATTATTTTTGATTGGATGTCATTATTGTTCTTTAAATAAAAAATAAAATTCGAATGCATCTCACGCACGCTCGGTCATACGTCATATTCGTTTTAGCGGTAAAAATATGGTAGCATACCAGTACAATATGGCGTTGGATTCGTGACGTCATTACAACTGGTCAGTATACTGTACCCTTAGTATGAGTTTTAATAGTTTTCGAATTCGATCAATCGTATCATCTCGTTTCCATAGATTGACTAGCAGCGCCCCTAGCGTTAACTATCAAAAACAAAAATCTGCAGTATGAGTTCATCGAGTCATCGTTAAACGAAAACCAATATTTTCGTATGTCGTTAGCATTTTGGCAGTACAAGTAACAACTTAAATTTTTTTTTGTTAAAAAATTTTAAGTTTTTAAAAAACGCTGTCAATGTTAACTTTGACAGCGCGTCATGAGTATACTAAGACGTTTGATCATATCGTCACTCGATTAGAAACTTTCAGTGACTAAGTGTTTTGGGCCAAGTTTTTATGCAATCTAATAAAATGTTTTCGGCACAATATTTAGCTCTCATGCTCGCTGAAGAGATTGACAAAGACCAGCGTGCACAGGCACGACGGGAATTATTACAGAGGAGGCGATTAACTTACAAAGGTACCGCCTTTCTAAAGAATATTTTGAGTATCTTTGTGTTACTTTAGCACAAAACACTACATTAAATTTTATTTCTTTACGGCCCTGAAGTCAACCATACAGCCACATACAGCCAAGTTTCACACATAGATAAATGTAGATTCTATACTCTTTGGACACAGATTAATAAGATTAAGTCTAGAGTTTTACATAGATTAGCTTTGTTTAAGGTTGAATTGAAAGAATTAGCTATCTCTTTTTTGGCAATAGAGAACGAAACAGACAAAACTAAACAGTGTGAAGTTCGTTTAAATGAGTCATACGAACTTACGATATCGTGAAGACGAGTAGTGAAATTCTATACTCGTACTGTGACACTATTCGAAAACGTTCGTTTCGTAATAAAAAACTCATACTAAGGGTACTGGTGTATTTGTTTTGGAATACGAAGGCGAAGGCTAAAATGGCGTCACACGCTAGTAAACTTCCGGTCAAACTGACAATACATTGTACAGTTCGACGTTTCAATGACAACCATGTGTTGACACACCAATAGGACGCCATATTATCCAGAGAAAAGCTTTCGCAGAAACTTGCAAATGAAATTTTATTGTTCAAACGAACAAATGTGGAATTTGTCAATTATCATCATCACTAACCTTTTAATATCCCTACTGCTGGGGCACACACACCTTTTTATGAATGGAATAGAATGATTGAGTCGCGACCCACCACGCGGCCCCAATACGGAATGGTGGGTGTAGATTTAGCCAGGACCAACTGCATAACGTGCTTTTCGAAGCACGGAAGATTGAGAGATAATAAATTTTGGTCACCCATCCAATGACCGACCACTACAAAAGTTGCTTAACTTCCAAGATCGCAGGCCGAATGCGCTTTCACCTGCGCCATCAAACTAATCAATGCGACTGCTACTGAATTATTATAAATTAACAAGAAAAGCTTCGCTTCATCAATCATCATCATCATCAGCCTATTAATATCCCCACTGCTGGGGCACAGGCCTTCCCTATGGATGGAATAGGGAGATTGGGCCATGACCCACCACGCGGACCCAGTGCGGATTGGCGGGTGCTAACGGCTGCAGATGCAACCGGGACCAATGGCTTAACGTGCCTTCCGAAGCACGGAGGAACTCGAGATAGAAGATTTTGGTCACCCATCCAATTACCGACCACTGCGAAAGTTGCTTAACTTCAACTATCGCAGCCGAACGCGCTAACCACCAGCGCCATCGAGCTCCTCGATAAGCTTCGCTTATACCAGACGAAAGAGAGGTATAGCTAAGCAGATTTCCAGCTCGAATTGGAGCATCCGTTTGGGGAAGTAGCCTCCACTATTACAGTAGACCACAGTAAAATAACACTACCCTTTGTTGATGTTGTGTTTCTGTCGATGAGTAAGATTCTAGGGCTCCACGTGGTAGATATGGAGTCAGGGTAAGCAACGGCGTGAATGATATTTATTGAATACAATAGCAAGCGTCTATTTGGACAATAAAAATAGATAATGTAAAGGGAGGACAAAACTTGCTGAGTTTCTTGCCGGTTCTTCTCAGACAAGGCCTTCTGGTAGACTCTTGAACCGATGGCATCAAATTTGACTTTCATAAGTGTGCAAATTGTACCTAAATGAATAAAGAAATTTTGACTTTGACTTTGAATAGAATATTTGACAAGTTTTAGAAAACGATCTTACGGTGTTGACTAATATTTACGGAGTCCGTAATAAGTGGATATTCATCATTCCGTTGTGTATTTCAGTAAAAATAACCAAATTAAAAGCTCAATTTTCAAGTTGCCGCGAAAACGTTTCTCTGGACAATATGGCGTCTTACTAGTGTGTGACGTCACGCGACTGTTATTAAAACCTCAAACGATACAATGTAATGTCACTTTTACCGGAAGTTTACTTGCGTGTGACGTCATTTTAGGCTCCGCCAATCCCTAGGCGTTTTGGGTCACGTGACAATAGATAAGAAAACTATTATCTTTTTCGTGGGTTTTTAGTAAAATTATGAATATTTTTTCTGTAAAAATATTTAAAACCCCTGCCAATATTCAATCTAAACACAGATGCTAACAATGAGCGTTTTCTGAAATGACGGGAACCAGGTGGCAGTACTGAGACGAAAGGTTACTCATCCGTCAAATCGCATATGTTCTCATAGTCTATGGATCTGGTCTATGGAGCTTGCGCCAAAAACTTCATACAAAAGACCTCACGTCACAGTGGCACCAACTGGCGACGTAAATTTTCACAAACACACTCATTGGCACTTTATTTTTAATACTGTCAAAAACCCCATTCAAAAGAGCTTTCTTTAAGTCAATTTGAATCAAGTATAATTTTATTGATAGATCATGGTGGCCGCTTACCTGTACTTACCTGTACTATGTGCTGGTTTCTCGACCTTTAAACATCTAGACTTGAACTTAGTGCTGTTTGAGAGAATACTTTATCGATTGTTGATGTTTTAAAGTTAAAACAATATTTTGTTAATATATAATTTGCGGCAGACCAAAACCAACTTAGATATTAAAAATTAACATTGTTTAATCTAAATTGTTTAACTTGGAGCTCGGTGGTGAGTGCATTGCACCGGCGATCGTGAAATTAAGCAAATTTGTCAATGGTCGGTCATTGGATGGGTGACAAAAAACTAATCATCTAAAGTTTCTCCGTGCTTCGGAAGGCACGTTAAGACATTAGCCCCGGAACTCCCACCAATCCGCACTGGGCTCGCGAGGTGGGAACAAGGCCTAGTCTCCCTATTCAATCCATAGAAATTGCTTGTGCCCCAGCAAGAAGGATATTAATAGGCTGATGATGATTTAACTTAGCTGTTCAGTCATAGTATTTCTTATTATGTGGGTAAACTACAAATACACGACTCAAAGGTAACGGGTGCTGCTGTCATCGCCGCATTACCTCTCACGGCGGCGCCAGCGCACACAAGAGGAGCTTGACTATCATCATCATCAGCCTATTAATGTCCCCACTGCTGGGGCACAGGCCTTCCCTATGGATGGAATAGGGGATTGGGCCATGACCCACCACGCGGGCCCAGTGCGGATTGGTGGGTGCTAACGACTGCAGATGCAGCCGGGACCAACGGCTTAACGTGCCTTCCGAAGCACGGAGGGGCTCGAGATAGTAAATTTTTGGTCACCCATCCAATGACCGACCACTGAGAAAGTTGCTTAACTTCAACGATCGCAGCCGAACGCGCTAACCACTTGCGCCATCGAGCTCCTCTTGACTATATTATTTCGGAATATCGGTTTTCGGTGGATTATCATTAATAGTTATAAGTGTACTGCTTAAGTGTTTGAAATTGGTGCACAATAAGGCCTCTGAGTGGGTGACCACGTGAACACGTAACGCTTCCAGCACGAGCTCATTCATACTGGCGATGTCAAGGTGAGTGGTTAACTTCATGGTGGGGAATCCTGTGTCTGAATTTTACCAATAGAAGCGATAGGATCAGCGATTATACCAACTTGTTCTCGTGGGCTATCGAAGGTGTTCTCGCGAACATTAGCAATAAAACTTGTGTAACTAGAAAAGCATAATTAAAGATATTTTAAAATAGCTTTCTTTATGATGTAGTAATCTAGGAAGTGAAGATAACGCTTTCTCACATTAAGTTTGTTCTTATAGAAGAGCTCGTTGGGCAGCTGCAGGATGTCTCTGTCGGAGCGGAAGTTGTTGAGCAGCATCATCACGTAGTCGGGGTCTTCGCTCTTGTACAGTTCCATCTCCATCAGGCGCTCCATCAGGGATTTTCCTGTTGGGAAAACGAAAAATGCTTCTCTGTAAAAGTAGGATCTCGATATTACCAGGACTTAGCGGAATGATAAATGTAAGCTTATATTATTTCTTAAAGTGATAGTGTCATATAAATCGACGAACACCGGGTCACGTTGTCACGAGTTAGTTCAATATTCTGCGGTGTGTGCAAGGTGAGGTCCAGAGGGGTTTCTTCGGCAGGATGACGCAGGGCCCCAGCTGCAGGTGGTCGCCGCACAGCACGAGGCACGAGGCACGAGGCACGAGGCACGCGGGCTCCGTATGACCACATACCTAGCCCGTGGCTGGCGGCGCGCCGACAGATGACGCAGGGCCCCAGCTGCAGGTGGTCGCCGCACAGCACGAGGCACGAGGCACGAGGCACGAGGCACGCGGGCTCCGTATGACCACATACCTAGCCCGTGGCTGGCGGCGCGCCGACAGATGACGCAGGGCCCCAGCTGCAGGTGGTCGCCGCACAGCACGAGGCACGAGGCACGAGGCACGAGGCACGCGGGCTCCGTATGACCACATACCTAGCCCGTGGCTGGCGGCGCGCCGACAGATGACGCAGGGCCCCAGCTGCAGGTGGTCGCCGCACAGCACGAGGCACGAGGCACGAGGCACGAGGCACGCGGGCTCCGTATGACCACATACCTAGCCCGTGGCTGGCGGCGCGCCGACAGATGACGCAGGGCCCCAGCTGCAGGTGGTCGCCGCACAGCACGAGGCACGAGGCACGAGGCACGCGGGCTCCGTATGACCACATACCTAGCCCGTGGCTGGCGGCGCGCCGACAGATGACGCAGGGCCCCAGCTGCAGGTGGTCGCCGCACAGCACGAGGCACGAGGCACGAGGCACGAGGCACGCGGGCTCCGTATGACCACATACCTAGCCCGTGGCTGGCGGCGCGCCGACAGATGACGCAGGGCCCCAGCTGCAGGTGGTCGCCGCACAGCACGAGGCACGAGGCACGAGGCACGAGGCACGCGGGCTCCGTATGACCACATACCTAGCCCGTGGCTGGCGGCGCGCCGACAGATGACGCAGGGCCCCAGCTGCAGGTGGTCGCCGCACAGCACGAGGCACGAGGCACGAGGCACGAGGCACGCGGGCTCCGTATGACCACATACCTAGCCCGTGGCTGGCGGCGCGCCGACAGATGACGCAGGGCCCCAGCTGCAGGTGGTCGCCGCACAGCACGAGGCACGAGGCACGAGGCACGCGGGCTCCGTATGACCACATACCTAGCCCGTGGCTGGCGGCGCGCCGACAGATGACGCAGGGCCCCAGCTGCAGGTGGTCGCCGCACAGCACGAGGCACGAGGCACGAGGCACGAGGCACGCGGGCTCCGTATGACCACATACCTAGCCCGTGGCTGGCGGCGCGCCGACAGATGACGCAGGGCCCCAGCTGCAGGTGGTCGCCGCACAGCACGAGGCACGAGGCACGAGGCACGAGGCACGCGGGCTCCGTATGACCACATACCTAGCCCGTGGCTGGCGGCGCGCCGACAGATGACGCAGGGCCCCAGCTGCAGGTGGTCGCCGCACAGCACGAGGCACGAGGCACGAGGCACGAGGCACGCGGGCTCCGTATGACCACATACCTAGCCCGTGGCTGGCGGCGCGCCGACAGATGACGCAGGGCCCCAGCTGCAGGTGGTCGCCGCACAGCACGAGGCACGAGGCACGAGGCACGAGGCACGCGGGCTCCGTATGACCACATACCTAGCCCGTGGCTGGCGGCGCGCCGACAGATGACGCAGGGCCCCAGCTGCAGGTGGTCGCCGCACAGCACGAGGCACGAGGCACGAGGCACGAGGCACGCGGGCTCCGTATGACCACATACCTAGCCCGTGGCTGGCGGCGCGCCGACAGATGACGCAGGGCCCCAGCTGCAGGTGGTCGCCGCACAGCACGAGGCACGAGGCACGAGGCACGAGGCACGCGGGCTCCGTATGACCACATACCTAGCCCGTGGCTGGCGGCGCGCCGACAGATGACGCAGGGCCCCAGCTGCAGGTGGTCGCCGCACAGCACGAGGCACGAGGCACGAGGCACGAGGCACGCGGGCTCCGTATGACCACATACCTAGCCCGTGGCTGGCGGCGCGCCGACAGATGACGCAGGGCCCCAGCTGCAGGTGGTCGCCGCACAGCACGAGGCACGAGGCACGAGGCACGAGGCACGCGGGCTCCGTATGACCACATACCTAGCCCGTGGCTGGCGGCGCGCCGACAGATGACGCAGGGCCCCAGCTGCAGGTGGTCGCCGCACAGCAGCAGCCGGCCGCGCTCCTTCAGTAGGCCGCACGGCACGAGGCATGCGGGCTCCGACGCCTGCGCTGCCTCGTCGATGAATAGATGCGTGAAGCAACGCTGGCCTTTCAGCTGTCTGTACACGTAAACCGAAAGTCACCGAATTACCCCTTAATTGAATTACTTTATGCACTCTAACTGAAAAAATAGAACACCTTGCCCAAAAACTAGTATAACTGTATTATCAGGGTCAGTGATTCCTAGGTAAATGTTTAGCAAAACTTAATTTTTTTTTATTCAACACCAAACATCACTATAGCCAGCACTTCACCTGACTATTCGCATTTGCTATTTGTATGTTATTGTAACTTGACAACGGTCTCTCCTTATCATAATTTATAGGGAATGAAAAACAAATATATATAAATTGATATCTTACAAATAACAAAACACGAATAGGCAAATGCCGGCAAAAACTACCCCATCTTTGAATCCCTTTATACCCTAACGCCCGTAGGAAGAGTAAACGACGTGGCAACGTTTTGAAACATACAGTCGACTCGATTTCGAGAGAACAATACAGTCAATCAATAAATCCATCCCAGCTTTGCACGTGGAAAGTACACTCATATTTTAACGAATAAAAATATTATCTACGTTACTCAAAGATAATATAGCATTCTAATGGTGAAAACTTCCAACAAAATATGTTGAAAACTATAAAAAAAAAATGGGTGCGTGTACTTATGTAGGCGCGTGAGAAGTTATCCTTCTTTGGCATCGTTTAAAATTAGTTTTTAATTGCATGCAAATAATTAATTACAATAAATTAATAAAAAGTCTGAAAAAGGACACAGTCAATAAAGTTCAGTTTTAATTTGAAAAAATAAATAAATAATCAAAATATTCAATTAAAATCGCTACTGAATATAATTTATTAGAACATATGTGATTTGCACTTGTATGAAACTCAAACACGTATTCCGAATATACAAACTAGAAACATGTGGATAAATATTATAAATATGAATACCTATAACTGTTACTTTATTACAAAAAATAAAGATGTGGTTTTTGGTTCTACTACACCAATGGTCAAGAGATGGCGCTGTAGTCTCCTGAATCGCGCTTTGGTTCCGTTGTTCCAGATTAATAAATACTTTTGATAGGCCTTCACAATGCAGTCATTAGCACCCACTAAATAGAGATTCTATTTCTATTTTGTTGGTAGATTTTCTTAATGTGCGGTAAACACAAAAGTAACGATGAAGTTGGTCGCTAAAGCGACCAACTTCATGCTGTTAAAATTTTGTGTTACAGTGATGCGCGCGCATCTTAAAATTTCACTCTCATCATTTTTTCATAACGCGCCTAAAGAAGTATAACTTCAAAAATCTATTGTAATCATTTAAGCAAATAATGGCGTATAAGACAATTTTTACAAAACGATCTCACGTTATTTAATAATGATTAAGCACTACGTTAAAAATTGATATTCGTTATTATGTTGTGTATTTCAGTAGAAAAACTAAATCAGAAATTAAATCTTTAAGATGCCGCAGAAACGTTCCTCTGGACAATATGGCGTCTCACTAGCATGTGACGGCACAGGATTGTCATTAAAACGTCAAACGTTAAAATGTTACGTCACTTTATACGTCATGACGTCATACGTATGACGTCATTTTAGTCTTCACCAATCCCAGGCGTTTTCGATCACGTGACCATAGAACAAAAAATCAGGTTATGGTTCTTTAGAAAAGTTATAAATTATTTGTTCTCTCAGAATAATAAAAACAGCTGCTATTATTCATATTAAATACAGATGTCAAAAATTGGTACTTTTTTTATTGTCAAATAGCCTATTAATTTATTATCATTAATATTTTTTATTACAAACATACAAAGGAATAGTAGTAATTAAATAATAGGGTATTTCAAACATTATATGCTGAAATAGCCCAGCTCTAAGAACCTCACCATATATATATGTTTACAAGTACGATTGTACGATTGATATATCCATCAGCGGCCCTATCACAAAATCATTTCATAAACTCGCTGTTGGACTTAGAACGATCATTTTGATTCGCAATCTAACTATCATCACAGAGAGAGAGCAACAGATTCTACTCGAATTTTCAGAAACAAACTATTGCATCACTTTCAGCCTCCCAGTGTGTATTCGACGTAGTTAAATTTTTTTTTGTATGTTCTTGATAAAAATAACCTTAATAAATCAATAATAGCAGTATCTGTTAAAGATAATGTTCTTGTTCTCCTTTCATTTTAATTAATGTTAAACGATATGGTATAAATGTTGTGTATATCTATAATTGGCAAACATATGTAAACAGTAAAATTATCCTCTATATATTACGAATGTGTTGTATGTTATGCTGTATGTACCTATAAATAAATAAATAACAGTGTAATGGGATTCGGAAGGGATCCTGTAGACCGATTATAAAAATAAAGACGTTTCTATAACCGGAGAATACTGTGCCTCTATCCTCTGAAGAAGCTGAAAGAAAGCATTAAAGAAAAAAGGAGGGCAAAATTTAACAAAATTATTCTTCTTCTTCACGACAACGCGTTTGACACAAGAACTGCGTTGTGTTGGCTTACCTGCAATAAGGAGGTTACTTCGATATTTTAGACCATCCACCCTAATTCGACTATTTCCAAAACTGAAAAAAAACTTTGTGAAAAGAAATTTTCAACTGATGAAGAAGGGAAGGAAGCTTATTTTTCGGACAAAGATAGAACATTTTTTACGAAGGTATACATAAGCTGATTTCGCGAAATTAAAAACGCCCCCTCGCCTCGTGGGTATAGTTATAGGAGATACATACTGTAACGTTGTACGTGAATATAGGTCTTAATATCAATCTATATATATAAAAATGAAACCCGTTTTCCGTTGTCACGACATAACATGAAAACGGCTTGACCGATTTGGCTGTTTTTTTTTTTGTAGTTTTCTAATACTCTGTACAAGGTTCTTACGGAAAAAAATATAAAGAAAATCCCAAGGGGATAAAATAAGGAATGAAAGTTTGTATGAAACTTTATCAATTTTAAACCGATCGGGCTGAGACTTTGCATGCAGGTATAAGAAGAATCATAGATGAATGTCATTGTGTATAATACAAGCCTGAGAACAAAAACTGTAGTCTACACTTCAGCTCTACACCGAAGCGAAGCGAGGGCGGGCCGCTAGTAAGTTATAAAATTTAAACTAAATATTTTTCAATTTTTACCGTAAACTACGTCAAAGGGGAAATTTCAATGCTATATCTTAATTTAAGCAGTGATACATAATAGTGAGGTATTCAAATACATCTCAGTTTCGCTTCCGTACGCGTGAAACGAAACGCGATTGTTTACGTAATAAAGAGGCGGGGCTAAGACTAAAAGCTTCGGCAGCTTTTAGTCTTAGGCCCGGATTACAGAATGACAACTAAGTGTTGATCTTTACTTGAGTAGTTAGAAAGGGATGCCGCTATGTGCTATATATAGCGACATCCCTTTCTAACTATGCTCAAGACTAGATCAATCACTGAGAATCTTTCTATAATACGGGCCTAAGGCACGAAATCTTTTGGTGCGGACGTGCCGCCGTCTCGCGGTAATAGTAACAAAGTTTCCGCTGGGGTGAGTTTAAATACTGTCTAGGGTTAATAACAGTTGTAAGATGTTCTCTTCTTTAAAAAAGTTTAACGTAAACATTTATAACGCCAGTCTGTCCTACTCCTACTTTAAAATTTGAACCGTTGGCCGTTGGGACCGTCTTGTGAGTCCAGGAGCAATTTATTAAGGTGCTGCCTTTGGGTTCTAGGTGCTAAGCCTACCGTACCGCAAGCAAAGACCGAATCCTGTTTCCCAGAGGTTGTCAGAGGATTTTCAGCCAGGAAACAGCTACATCAATTGAATCTAACGGAAAGTCGTCGGCGGAACCTACTGACGATCCTTGCTGACCACTGAACCTTCGAAGGAGGTTCGACCTTCGATCTATCTGCAGACGAATATTCCAGGCCTAATATTCCCCCTCACCTGCGAAGTTGCGACGGCCACAGAATCAAATTTGGCCAATATAAGGATTATTTTCTACTAAGTCAATTATTTATTTCCGGACCCACCAGCTGCGAGCCGTACTGGCCGCAATACCTACAAATTTTATTTCGGAATTCTATAACACCCGGTATATAATCTAACATAAATCATAGCATGAACATGTTAAATAGACATTCCAATGATTGGCTTTTTATTTTTTATAGCTTTGAACAGTTTATTTTAGACTTGCAACGAATAGTATATTCGGCAGTATACCGAATATACGGCAAGGCCCCTGACCGAATAGCCGAATATTAGGCAAAAGTATTCGGCTGGATTTGAGCGCCAAAACTTGCACAGACAGACGTGATTGTTTCGCGCTCATTTGTTTTGTTCTAATCTGCCGTCCTCAAGCTAAAATGCGGCTAAATGACATAACCAACTTTTGAGATATGGTCAAAAACGGCGCGTAAACTTTAAATTATTGCTATTATGTAACCATTCATCACATGACTGAATGAATTAAAGTGTTAACTTGTTTTTCAATGACTACTTAATAAATGATTATAAAAGAAATGAGAACCTTCTAAATTTTGATTATCACAATAATTCAAATACATAGAATCCCCCATTTTTTCAAATCAGAAGATGATTATGTACCTGTGTTATGTACCAATGACTACTTAAATGAGAATATAACAGAAATGAAATTATGAATATATACGTAATCAATCGATTTGAATTTTTCAATTTACCAATTATTTCTCTATGACAAAATATATTATTTAAGTATTCGGTATTCGGCCGAATAATATGTAGATATTCGGTATTCGGCCAAATATAATAAAAGTAGCCGAATAGGTTGCTATTCGTAACCGAATATCCGTTGCAAGTCTAGTTTATTTGATTTGGTAAAGCATATTGGCACTCACCTGACGAACTTGGCGGAGTGCAGCAGCGTGGTGACGACGATGCGGTAGGAGCGGAACTTCTCCGTGCTCACGTTCTCATAGTCGCGGGCGCTGGTACCGTTCGAGTACTTGTACAAGTTCTTGGGAAGAGTTTCCCTGCAAATTGACCGATATTTATAACTGGTGAGTGCCCGCGGCCTCGACTGCGTCACGAAATTGAGTTCCCATATATACTTCTACCCACTTTTGTCACTCACCCTCTTAAGGAATGATTTTAGGGATAAAAATTATTTTATGTCCTACCCCGGGACTCAAACTATATCTATACCAAGTTTTATCTAAATCAGTTTAGCGATTTAAGCGTGATGTGGTAACAGACGACAGAAAGACAGACAGATGGAAAAAAATACTCAATAATTATATGTATATAGATTATGATAGAGTTTGTCCGGAAAGAGAACGGGAATTAGATTGGAGGGCGCTGTAGTGCTTTTCTACCGTACTTGTAAGGTTTTACCCCTTTTGGACATGATTAAATACAAATAACCGCAAGAAATCACAACAACAAACAAATCCGTATCAATACAAAACTATGACGTTTTACATGACATTGCTGGGTTTGATTGTCAAATAAAAATCTTAATGTTAGTTCCGTTTTTCGCCACGCTCATTCCTTTCCGCACAGACTCTATGTAGTTTTCATATTATTTTATAAGTATTTAACACGTATGTATTATTATATTCAGGTGTATACGCCGACTGTTTTGCCTTATATTCTTTCATACTACGGACCTACTGGAAGAAATTTCAGTTGTGCTCTTGTGCATGTATCTTTAATTAAATTGCTCCCGTATCTGTATTTGTGTGTACAAAACATATAAATAAAAAAAATCTTTTTCATCCCACCACCTCGGAAAGTGTAATTTTGCGCTTCGAAATCTGGCTGGAAAATTCTATTTTATTCGCTTGAGCGGCAAAGTAGATTTGAATTTAGAACATCACATATAATGAGTACTCAATATAATTGTAAATTCAAAACGTCATTAAACCTATTTAATGTAACCTCTATGGTGCCAAATTTATGATTAGAACTTTTTAAATTGTGAAAAAATTTAAATTTGGAACCTTCTTGGTTTCTTTGTTTTATTTGCGTGCTTCGCGCCATTCTAGTTTTTCACGTTTTATTGCTTAAATATTTTGTCATTATAAATTGTTTTCTTTTTCATTTTGTCATTTCCTCGCTGAGGTGGGATGAAAAGTTACGTATTGCACTCGAGTGGAAAGATTTTTCACCTTGTGCTCGTTTGTTTCCCTCGCTGACGCTCAGGATTCTAATTTAGAATCACTCGCTGCGCTCGTGATTCAACTTTAGAATCCTTCGCTTGCTCGGTCATCCAAATCGAGCACGCGGTTAAAAAGGAACTTTCCACTCTTGTATAATAAATAACTATTTTACTAGAGAACAATGTACTGTTGTATAGTGTGTTACAGAAGTTGCATTTATCGTGCAAATGATGTGTCGCAGTACGTGTATGAGTTTTTGTGTGTCAGCACTCACCAGACGCGGTACTTGGAGCTGGCCCGCAGCAGCAGGTTGGCGGGGAATTTATCCGCGTACTCCGCGATGGCGACCGCCACGTGGTCCGCCGCCATGTTGGAGTCCGTGCAGATCAGCACGCGCACGTCTTTATTGCGGGCCACCAGCTGCGATCCATATTGTTTTGTTAAGATTACAAATACGAGGCAGGTTAGTAGACCAGGGCCGATAATTTTAAAAATGGTAAATATTGAAAAAAAAATATAGGGGGCAGCACTGCCCTACCAAGCCAATACACTGTAACTTTTGAAAACCACTTTTGAGATAATTGACAAAATGTATTGTTTATTGATTATTCGCCTTTTTAAAGGTTATTGGTCAATATTGTATAATTTAATGCAATCAATGGTAAGATATACATTACTAGTACAGTGCAACCTCGATATAACAAATCGGAAGGGAACAAGTAAATATTCGTTATATCGAGTAATTCTTTAAACTGAGGTTTGTTATATTGAGGTTAGGTTGGTCTAAAATTTGTTATAAAGAGGTAAAAAAATTGTTTATTGAGGTTAGGTTGGTCTAAAATTTGCAATCTAAAAGTTGCCTGTTTGGCAGCAGGCGCGTCACTCACCTGCAGCGCGGCCTCGGTGAGCGTGCGCGTCTTGCCGGTGCCGGGGGGGGGCCGTGCAGCAGGTGGGGGGGGGGGCGGGGGGGCAGCAGGCGCGTCACTCACCTGCAGCGCGGCCTCGGTGAGCGTGCGCGTCTTGCCGGTGCCGGGGGGGCCGTGCAGCAGGTGGGGGGGGGGCGGGGGGGCAGCAGGCGCGTCACTCACCTGCAGCGCGGCCTCGGTGAGCGTGCGCGTCTTGCCGGTGCCGGGGGGGCCGTGCAGCAGGTGGGGGGGGGGCGGGGGGGCAGCAGGCGCGTCACTCACCTGCAGCGCGGCCTCGGTGAGCGTGCGCGTCTTGCCGGTGCCGGGGGGGCCGTGCAGCAGGTGGGGGGGGGGCGGGGGGGCAGCAGGCGCGTCACTCACCTGCAGCGCGGCCTCGGTGAGCGTGCGCGTCTTGCCGGTGCCGGGGGGGCCGTGCAGCAGGTGGGGGGGGGGCGGGGGGGCAGCAGGCGCGTCACTCACCTGCAGCGCGGCCTCGGTGAGCGTGCGCGTCTTGCCGGTGCCGGGGGGGCCGTGCAGCAGGTGGGGGGGGGGCGGGGGGGCAGCAGGCGCGTCACTCACCTGCAGCGCGGCCTCGGTGAGCGTGCGCGTCTTGCCGGTGCCGGGGGGGCCGTGCAGCAGGTGGGGGGGGGGCGGGGGGGCAGCAGGCGCGTCACTCACCTGCAGCGCGGCCTCGGTGAGCGTGCGCGTCTTGCCGGTGCCGGGGGGGCCGTGCAGCAGGTGGGGGGGGGGCGGGGGGGCAGCAGGCGCGTCACTCACCTGCAGCGCGGCCTCGGTGAGCGTGCGCGTCTTGCCGGTGCCGGGGGGGCCGTGCAGCAGGTGGGGGGGGGGCGGGGGGGCAGCAGGCGCGTCACTCACCTGCAGCGCGGCCTCGGTGAGCGTGCGCGTCTTGCCGGTGCCGGGGGGGCCGTGCAGCAGGTGGGGGGGGGGCGGGGGGGCAGCAGGCGCGTCACTCACCTGCAGCGCGGCCTCGGTGAGCGTGCGCGTCTTGCCGGTGCCGGGGGGGCCGTGCAGCAGGTGGGGGGGGGGCGGGGGGGCAGCAGGCGCGTCACTCACCTGCAGCGCGGCCTCGGTGAGCGTGCGCGTCTTGCCGGTGCCGGGGGGGCCGTGCAGCAGGTGGGGGGGGGGCGGGGGGGCAGCAGGCGCGTCACTCACCTGCAGCGCGGCCTCGGTGAGCGTGCGCGTCTTGCCGGTGCCGGGGGGGCCGTGCAGCAGGTGGGGGGGGGGCGGGGGGGCAGCAGGCGCGTCACTCACCTGCAGCGCGGCCTCGGTGAGCGTGCGCGTCTTGCCGGTGCCGGGGGGGCCGTGCAGCAGGTGGGGGGGGGGCGGGGGGGCAGCAGGCGCGTCACTCACCTGCAGCGCGGCCTCGGTGAGCGTGCGCGTCTTGCCGGTGCCGGGGGGGCCGTGCAGCAGGTGGGGGGGGGGGGGGGGGGGCAGCAGGCGCGTCACTCACCTGCAGCGCGGCCTCGGTGAGCGTGCGCGTCTTGCCGGTGCCGGGGGGGGCCGTGCAGCAGGTGGGGGGGGGGCGGGGGGGCAGCAGGCGCGTCACTCACCTGCCGCGGGGCCTCGGTGAGCGTGCGCGTCTTGCCGGTGCCGGGGGGGCCGTGCAGCAGGTGGGGGGGGGGCGGGGGGGCAGCAGGCGCGTCACTCACCTGCAGCGCGGCCTCGGTGAGCGTGCGCGTCTTGCCGGTGCCGGGGGGGCCGTGCAGCAGGTGGGGGGGGGGCGGGGGGGCAGCAGGCGCGTCACTCACCTGCAGCGCGGCCTCGGTGAGCGTGCGCGTCTTGCCGGTGCCGGGGGGGCCGTGCAGCAGGTGGGGGGGGGCGGGGGGGCAGCAGGCGCGTCACTCACCTGCAGCGCGGCCTCGGTGAGCGTGCGCGTCTTGCCGGTGCCGGGGGGGCCGTGCAGCAGGTGGGGGGGGGGCGGGGGGGCAGCAGGCGCGTCACTCACCTGCAGCGCGGCCTCGGTGAGCGTGCGCGTCTTGCCGGTGCCGGGGGGGCCGTGCAGCAGGTGGGGGGGGGGCGGGGGGGCAGCAGGCGCGTCACTCACCTGCAGCGCGGCCTCGGTGAGCGTGCGCGTCTTGCCGGTGCCGGGGGGGCCGTGCAGCAGGTGGGGGGGGGGCGGGGGGGGCAGCAGGCGCGTCACTCACCTGCAGCGCGGCCTCGGTGAGCGTGCGCGTCTTGCCGGTGCCGGGGGGGCCGTGCAGCAGGTAGGGGGCCGGAGACCCCGCCGCGTGCAGGATGCGGTTCACGGCGGCGCGTTGTTCGGGATTTCGCCCCACGTCCGAGTTATAGAATCTGCGCCCGACAAATTGCGATACATGATCGACGGAAACACAATACACTCGCAATTGAGTAACGAAAACATAAGACAACAAAGCTCGCTACGCTCGCTGTGTTCCTGTCATTTTCAATTAGTTTTTTTGTTGGAACGCGTTTATAGCGTTTATAGCTATAGAGAAAACTTACGCCGTGCAATTTAATCGCATCTCTAATCTTTCCTTGAATGTTGTATCATTTGTATCAAAAACTGTAATGAAAACAGTGGTGTCGATTCTAGCATGATTCTCTAAACCTAAACTTAAATTTGACAGCAGTATATCCTTGTCATTCTCTATACAGAATGAAAAGGACAGACTGATGTTAAATTTAGTTTTAAGTTTAGAGAATCACGCCAGAATCGGCACCAGTGGCAGTGTAACATCAATTTATTTTATAAATAATTTAGTTAATAATATTCCTTTTTTTGTAAGAGTGCCATCTATCGTCACTCATATGAATTATCGAACGCGGAGCCACTACTTCGCTATTCAAGGATCAATCGTGTTAAGGGATGGAAGACAACAGCTCGAGGCTATTTATAATGAGGCCCGCAGAGTACGTTCTAACTGGAGGTTCATACTTATTACCTTATAAGGAGCGATTTCTATAGCGGAAGTGGTTAGATAAACCACGCCGGTAATAATGTTAGCCACACAGTAGTCCAAGGTCCATATCAATATTACGTTGAGCAAAGTATAAGTTGAAAATGTCACTTTTTACTAACCATTCGCAGAACACACCAAGATCCTTTAATTTAATGGTTACTAAAAACTAAGGCTATGCATTATGTCCGGCCTACGTTCATAGCTTACTTAACTAACACTTCGGTCCTTCATTATGGCCCCATATGTAAGTACAGGCTTTACGTAAATAGGTAAAGAATGTAGGGCCCAAAGTCAATCCTTGGAGTACCCTATATGAATGACATCTATATATATAAAACTCAAAGGTGACTGACTGACATAGTGATCTATCAACGCACAGCCCAAACCACTGGACGGATCGGGCTGAAATTTGGTATGCAGGTAGATGTTATGACGTAGGCATCCGCTAAGAAAGGATTTGGATCAATTCTTCCCCCAAGGGGATAAAATAGGGAATGAAAGTTTGTATGAAACTTTGTAAATTTTAAACCGATCGAGCTGTCACTTTGCATGCAGGTATAAGAAGAATCATAGATGAATGTCATTGTGTTTAATACAAGCCTGAGAACAAAAACTGTAGTCTACACTTCAGCTCTACACCGAAGCGAAGCGAGGGCGGGCCGCTAGTCTTATATAAATAGGAATAAAATATATGAAAATCACTTACTCTGTTATCAGATTATCTTGAAGCGGCTTAGCTTTAGGGTTCCTCTTGGGGAATACTTTGTCCTCGAAGCCGTGGCGGAACACAGAGTCGACGGCCATATGCATCCGCTCCAGCGACATCCGCGACAGGAAGAAGCGCACGTCGAACCGAGCCTCGGCGCTGTAGTGCTTACCGAACCTACGCGCGTTCATAAATATATAATCATCATTATAATTTTTGGACTTTACTCCTTAAGAATCGATTTGCATATATAAGGGGCCCGGTATGAGAAAAATGTGAGGAGTAAAATCTACTGAACAAATGACCTCGTTACGTTTTTGTGCGCAACCTCATCTGCGCACCTTTCACTTTTAGCCATGGCAACGGATAAAAAACATTAAGTTGTCACAAATGTCAATAAAACAAATAAACTAAAAATAGATAAAATCGGAGCAAAATTAATGAAAACAAATAAATAACAAAATATAGAGAAATGCCGGTAAGTGTCCAGCACTCTGGAATAGTTTAAGCATGTAACTGCTCGATGTTTAAATCTAATGAAAATATTACTAGAAATAGTCCACGCGGACCAGGCAGCAGCCTTGAACCCGTACCCTTCGCTATCCGGGCGAATGCAATAACCAATTATGCTACCGCGGCCCTGATGGCCGTGTCGATTTCTTTCTAGCCTTTCTTAAGCTACAAGGCAGCGCCATCTCTTCGCATTGCAGGTAACCCACAACATCATCATCATCAAGGTAGAATTAGACGGTTCTTCAAAAGTGATACAATTTTGCAATGATTTGTGAATGATGAATAATAAAATGAGTTGTTTGTATAGACGCATCACTTTTAATGAAAGCTAATATTCTATTCCTTGTGGAATTCCCACGTGAACATCATCTCATCATCATCAGCAGCAGCCTATTACTGTCCCTACTCCTGGAGCACAGGCCTTCCCTATGGATGAAATAGGGAAATTGGGCCATGACCCACCACGCGGGCCCAGTGCGGATTGGTGGGTGCTAACGACTGCAGATGCATCCGGGACCAACGGCTTAACGTGCCTTCCGAAGCACGGAGGAGCTCAAGATATTAAATTTATGGTCACCCATCCAATGACCGACCACTGAGAAAGTTGCTTAAGTTCAACGATCGCAGCCGAACGCGCTAACCACTTGGGCCATCGAGCTTCTGAACATCATTTGTGTCGAGTTAATTCGTTAAAAAATAAATACTGAGACGCCCTTCCGGGAATATAACCTCCACCTTACAGAAGATCACAGTAAAATACTGAGTAGGTTTCCAGGGTTCCACCGGGTAGGGGATTCGTCAGGGTAGGCAACGGCGCGAGTGATATCTATATATATAAAACTTAAAGGTGACTGACTGACATAGTGATCTATCAACGCACAGCCCAAACCACTGGACGGATCGGGCTGAAATTTGGCATGCAGGTAGCATGCAGACATGTTATGACGTAGGCATCCGCTAAGAAAGGATTTTGATCAATTCTACCCCCAAGGGGTAGAACCAATAAAATAGGTATTGAAAGTTTGTATGAAACTTTGTCAATTTTAAACCGATCGGGCTGAGACTTTGCATGCAGGTATAAGAAGAATCATAAATGAATGTCATTGTGTATAATACAAGCCTGAGAACAAAAACTGTAGTCTACACTTCAGCTCTACACCGAAGCGAAGCGAGGGCGGGCCACTAGTGTTTAATATAGCTCTTCCATTAGGCGGGCCATATGCTTATTTCACACTCTTTTTAACTTAAAAAAAACCGGCCAAGTGCGAGTCGGACTCGCGCACCGAAGGTCCCGTAAGAATTAGGTAGGTGTAGGTATATTTACGGTTTTCCCAATTTTTTCTTCATCTGTGCTATAAGACGTTGCTTCGTACCAAATTGCGAGATTCTAAGTTCACAGAAAGTACTGTAACGTCCGTTACGTTACAGCCTCCTTGTTTGGATGAACTCTTTGTTCATGTAATGCCTACGGCTGGCAGTTATATTAAGCAACATGCAGGCCGGCAGGGTCAGGATGGCTGGTGTGGCAGGTAGAACTGCTGTTTTAGCTATCTTAGCGTCTGGACTTCACCTTCACTTAACATCAGGTGGAGTGGAGACATTTGTCGGACCTATCTATATAAAAAAATAAAAAATAAAAAGGTAATGTCATGATTTTTAAATATTTGAAATTGGGAATCTTCTGTCGTTTGATAGAAGATTCCATCAGATAGACTTCAGGCACCAAACCATGCGTTACTAGATTAAGCTCAATTATTATATTCGCCTGAATTCAGATTTCAAATAAAAGAGTTAAATATATAAGTTGTTTTTCATTTATAAAGTCACGCCCCCGGGATCTACCCCTTTAGGGTTAGATCGCGGCAGTACCCTGAAGGTTTTGATTCCCTTGCGAGTTTCGACAATTTGCGGCATAAACGGTTGTATCTTTTGATTGCGTTGGCTTAGAAGTTTGATTATTTCCTCCTCCTCCAAGGGACAGTAAACCTGATTATCTTTATATATATAATTCTTCTGTGAGTGTGTATGTCACTGAACTTCTCTTAAACGACTGGACCGATTTTGATGAAATTTTTTGTGTGTGTTCAAGGGGATCTGAGAATGGTTTAGATTCACAATTTTGTCGGCTGGACAATGTTTTTTTAATTAATTTTAAATTTATTAGTAGTTGTTGATTTTGGAATGTTTTACATTGGATCCGACAGACGGCGCTACCATACTAGACAGGACAACGTCTGTCGGGTCCGCTAGTTAGATATAAATTTCAGCTTGATACCTCCACGCGATGCTATAAGCATATAACAAAGTGATGCTATAAGGGTTCCGTTTTTCCTTTCGAAGTACGGAACCCTAAAAATACATATATATTTTAGGAAAATATGAAGAAACCACTCACTTTTGATGGAGGCCATTGATTGATATGGTGTTGTGGTTGATTTCGGAAATAACTCCCTCGAACATCTCTTCGTCTGTATTCGAGGGCTTGATGAACAACAAATCACCTGATCAAAGAAATTATAATTAGAGTACTTGGTGTGGTATTATGAAACAATGATATAAAAAATAAGTTCTTTCTTGGCTGGAAATCAAACAGGGGCCAAAATCACTCGGGTAGCTGGAGAGCTGACTGCTGACTGAAGTATTGATGCTATGATACTCGTATATGCTATGATTGTTGATAAAGTCTGATTTGTTAATAACAATTATAAATTTAATGCGACGTGCTAAAGGTGAAGGAAAAAAAAAGTAAGGCAATGCAATAAAAAAATAATTTCTATTAACATGCAAAACTATTTTTTTTTATAATTTTAAATAAGTGCTATATCAAATACATAAAGTAAGCGATAGAATAAGTTTGAGTGATGTGGTGTGATGGAGAGTTATTTATTAATTTAAACTTTATTATCATATGCAAAGGGCGGACTTAATGCCATAGGCATTCTCTACCAGTCAACCTGAACCTGGTATAGTGTGTACGTGTGTGTGTGTGTGTGTGTATGTGTGTGTGTGTGTCTGTATGTGTGTCTGTGTGTGTGTGTGTGTGTGTGTGTATATATGTGCGTGTGTGTGTGTGTGTGTCTGTATGTGTATGTTTATGTGTGTGTATGTGCGCGTGTTTGTGAGCGTGTATGTGTGTATGGATGCGTGTGTCTGTATGTGTGTGTGTATATGTGCGTGTGAGTGTGTATGTGTGTCTGTATGTGTATATGTGAGTGTATGTATGTATGTGTCTGTCTGTCTGTGTGTGTGTGTGTGTGTGTATGTATGCGTGTGTCTGTATGTGTGTGTGTGTATATGTGCGTGTCTGTGTATGTGTGCCTGTATGTGTATGTATGTGTGTATATGTATGTATGTGTCTCTGTGTGTGTATGTGCGTGGGGCACTGACCCACGAGCAGGGAGGGCCGCTTCTCGGCGAGGCCGGGCACCAGCAGCGAGTACACGTAGCCCGGCATCACCACCTTTAGGGGAACCTCGCTCATGTTGTACTTCTGCATTAAAAAGTTATTTTTATTAATAGGCTATTTCACAAGCTTTTGAAAACGTTGTAATTAGAGTAAAGTGACGCGCTAAAAACTGGATATTTGTAACTCTTTTGCGTATAACAGTAAAAAAACGAAAATTAAAATACTTTATTCGAATTTGTAATAAATTTTTCCAGCAAACATGGCGTCCTACGGGCAGATGACGTCGCACGACTCTCATTAAAACGTCAAACAGTACAAAGAAATGCCAGTTCGGTTGGCATTTTTTTTGTTTATTCAACAATAAAAATAAAATGCCATCCTAAAGTAAATTTTAAGTATATTAATATCTGGAGTCGGTGTTCTGTATGTTGTTAGATTAGATTCAACTTTAAATAAAACTGGTTTTAACGGGTTAATGCACGAAACTTTATTTATTAATTGACGTTTCGCAGCCTTTTCAGGTCTGCTTCGTCATTTTCTGGTCAGCTTCGACGCAGACCTGAAAAGGCTGCGAAATGTCTATAAATAAATAAAGTTTCGTGCATTAACCCGTTAAAACTAGTTTTATTTAATGAGTGATGTGCGTGAAAACCTAAGAAACAAATAGAGTCAACTTTTAATGCTTGGGTTGGTATGGGCAGCAGCTCAGTCAGTTTTATAATGCCCCCCTAGCATGAGCAACTCAATTGTCAAATTACTATGGAGTTTTACAGTTAGACGCGATAAAAAATGTGATATGTTAATTGTGGTGCTTATGCTACGGAGACTGCTCTTGCGCTGTTTTAGGGGTTGAATTCTTATCTGTTTAATAAATGGGTTTCCAGGCTGGTAGTAAAATAAAACTCAAAACGGAAGCCAGGAGCCATTAGGGTCCATTGGGGTTCGGGAAATCGTTAGGCTCTGTTCCCGGGAAATAAAGCTCGAGAAAAGTCGTGAACTCGAGAAATCATGCACCTATATAGAAATTAAATCGCCGTTTGTTGTGTTGTGTGGCGACGCGGGCCAAAGCGCGCCAAGCAAGTATTCATTATAATTTACATTTCTTTTTTACCTGAATTTAAGATAATAACGTTTTCTTTCATGTTATTTTTTTTGTTTTATAGAAGCTATTTTTGTTTTTAGTTGTTTTTTTTTTCTAAATAACCAGGCAGAAATGGTGCTGTGATTGTAATATAATTATAAGTTAAGATATTGACGTTTTCTTTGATATTTGTTTCTTAGGTTTTCGCGCACATCACTCATTAAATAAAACTAGTTTTTACGGGTTAATGCACGAAACTTTATTTATTTATTGACGTTTCGTAGCCTTTACAGGCTTCGTCGTCAGAATAAAACTTTTATTCAATTTGTCAAGCTACCTTCTTAAGACTTTTATTAAATTAAAAAAGAATAATTTTATTAAATTTAAAGTTTCGTGCATTAACCCGTAAAAACTAGTTTTGTTTTCTTTGATGTTGATTTTTTGTTTAGTTTAATAGATATATAGCTTTTTAACCAACTTCAAAAAAGCAGGAGAATCTGTGTTCGACTGTATATTTTTTTTATGTATATTCACCGATTTCTCTGTCAATTATGGACCGATTTTCAAAATTCTTTTTTTATTCATAGCCAAATCCTGTTTTAAATGTATCGTTTGTATGCCCAATTCGACAGAGGGGAAAGCTGTGTATGCCTACTCTCCTCCTGGATGCGTCGGCCGTGTTGTTCTATTAAGGTATTTTTTGGAACGAAAGTTCCTTACGGCAGGCTTGGAGGGGATAGGAATTTTGCTGCGCGACCGAACCGAACAAAATGTGATAGTAAAACCGTAAGAAAAAATGCGTGGAATAAACCGTTAAATGAGACGTGCGCAGGCGCGACGAAGTTCCTTACGGCAGGCTTGGAGGGGATAGGGATTTTGCTGCGCGACCGAACTGAAAAAAATGTGATAGTAAAACCGTAAGAAAAAATGCGTGGAATAAAACCATTAAATGAGACGTGCGCATAGGGGGTGGTAGAGCGACGAGGGTGCATCACTGAAATATTGTTATATTACACCAACACTGAATATGTGTGAAGTTATAGGGGGTGGTAGAGCGACGAGGGTGCATCACTGAAATATTGTGATATTACACCAACACTGAATATGTGTGAAGTTATAGGGGGTGGTAGAGCGACGAGGGTGCATCACTGAAATACTGTGATACTACACCAACACTGAATATTATGTGTGAAGTTATAGGGGGTGGTAGAGCGACGAGGGTGCATCACTGAAATATTGTGATACTACACCAACACTGAATATGTGTGAAGTTATAGGGGGTGGTAGAGCGACGAGGGTGCATCACTGAAATATTGTGATATTACACCAACACTGAATATGTGTGAAGTTATAGGGGGTGGTAGAGCGACGAGGGTGCATCACTGAAATATTGTGATATTACACCAACACTGAATATGTGTGAAGTTATAGGGGGTGGTAGAGCGACGAGGGTGCATCACTGAAATACTGTGATACTACACCAACACTGAATATTATGTGTGAAGTTATAGGGGGTGGTAGAGCGACGAGGGTGCATCACTGAAATATTGTGATACTACACCAACAGTGAATATGTGGGAAGTTATAGGGGGTGGTAGAGCGACGAGGGTGCATCACTGAAATATTGTGATATTACACCAACACTGAATATGTGTGAAGTTATAGGGGGTGGTAGAGCGACGAGGGTGCATCACTGAAATATTGTGATATTACACCAACACTGGATATTTGTGAAGTTATATCAAGCTGTGGACCAGTAACGCCTGTGAGACATGATTATGATTACAAGGTGAGTACTTATCAGGAGGTGGCAGAGCGACGGGGGTGCATCACTGGATTATTGTGACATTGTAGTTTATTCTAAACTGTGGGCCAGTCCTGCCTAGCATCCTTTACGAACGCTAGCGGGACATGATAATAAGGTGCGTATGTAGGAGGTGGCACAGCTACGAGGGTGCAGCACTGGAATATTGTGACATTACACGAAATTTGAATATTTGTGACGTTATACCGAGCTGTGGACCAGGAACGCCTATCATCTGCTGTAAACTTAAGCTAGACATGATAACAAGGTCAGTACTTAACAGGGGGTGACAGAGCGACGGGGGTGCAACCCCAAATTATTGTGGCATTATACCAACACTGGATTATTGTCGTATATTATACTAAACTGTGTTTAAGTCCAGGGGGTGGCAGAGCGACGGGGGTGAATTACTGGATTATTGTGACATTGTAGTTTATTATAATCTGTGGGCCAGTCCTGCCTAGCAATCTTTACGAACACTAGCTGACCGAACTGAAAAAAATGTGAAAATGTGATAGTAAAACCGTAAGAAAAAATCCGTGGAAAAAGTGCGTGGAATAAAACCGTTAAATGAGACGTGCGCAGGCGCGACGAAGTTCCTTACGGCAGGCTTGGAGGGGATAGGGATTTTGCTGCGCGACCGAACTAAAAAACATGTAAAAGTAAAACCGTCAGAAAAAATCCGTGGAAAAAAAGTGCGTGGAATAAAACCGTTAAATGAGACGTGCGCAGGCGCGACAGTCGCATACACAAGCGAGTTTGCAATTTGTGTCGATTCTACATTAGCCGAAGGAACTTCGTTCCTACCTGGTGTCCCACGACACCACATCATTTTTCACAAGTTTTAGAAAATGAACTCACGTTATTAACTAATGTTTATGGAATCTATAAAAAGTGGATAGTTTTAATTCTGTCGTGTAATTCAGTAAAAAAAAAGAAACAATTATGTTTTTTATTTTATTTTTAAGCATTTAATTGCTAGATGTTTAAATCTAAAGAAAAGTTTACTAGAAAAAAATCCACGCGGACCAGGCAGCGGACGGGACTCGAACCCGCACCCTTCGCAATCCGGACGAATGCACTGACCATTATGCTACCACGGCCCTATTCTACTATTATTATCTATTTTTTTTCTAGTAAACTTTTCTTTAGAAAAAAACAATTTTCATGTTTTTTAATCTCAATAGGTTCGTGTATAGGGTTTACATTATCTCAGGACATAATTTGAGTTATATCAGAATTGCGGCTGGATTTTAGAAATCTCCGGGTTTTTAGAATATTTTTTTTTCTAATAAATATATCGGTAACTTGTAAAAATATTCAGTAAAAAACGTTTAAAGTTACTTTAATAATTTTACTATTGTTATATTGTTTGTCTTATTACGTTACTCGAACATTTATGTATTACCCTAACTTCCTCACTCATAATGTTCACTTCCCGGGTTTTGTCAACATATTGTAATGCGAACCATTTAGAAAAACTGAAATATTAGGTCTTTGCGTTACGAGCTCAGCTCAGTACAAAAACCACTGTTTAATTGTAAGCTAAGATAAAATTTTGTATTGGCGAATAAATACATTTTTTTTAGGATTTTCGGTTAGGTAGACATTTAGATCTTTTCATACTGCAAGAGGCGATGCGTCAATAACTTCAAAAATATATCTTTAGAAAATATCCTATTATCTGGTTACCCTACTCAGGTATGATTCCAGCCCCTCTAGCATGACTACCGAAACGGGATATGATAAACCGATATATCGGCATTAACTGTCAGACTACAGTGGAGTTTGACAGTAGTCTGGCACAAGGCCGTAGCTAGAGGGGGGGAGGGCATTGTGGGGCAATGCCCTACCTTGCATCACAATGCCCTGCCTTAAAATACCAAAAACAAAGATATTTTTTTATAATTAAATTGTTTGTTCATAGTTTGAGATAAAAAATAGTAGCAATAGGTACCTATCTAACATAACACAGTATGTGACATTCATTTCATATTATAATAATTCTTTGTTCTGTGTATAGATGGCATTTGAAGCTCCATCACATGAAGCGATGGGTCTATCTGTGATGCAGAGGGAATTCTCCATACTATTGCAATCTTTCGTACGGGGAATCCCGTACATAATAAACATTAACTAAAGATTGATTATGTGAAGTGTTCTGTAAAGAGTGTTTTACTCAAAAATCAATACAATTGTTATTTCTATCAATACGTTTTCAATTTTAACTGCAATTAATAGGCCTCAAAGACTGTCAATGGGTCACGAGTGAACGGCTGGTATGGTACTTCCGGCCTTTGAAAAAAAAAACGGCCAAGTGCGAGTCGGACTCGCGCACCGACGGTTCTGTACAAACTCAATTTAATACCTCTTACCTACCTCTACCTCTACCGCGTTCATGAGAAAAGAGGTAAGTAGTAACTTTAAAATTTTCAAAATTTTTTTTATTAAGATATGATGTACCTAACTAAAAATTTACGGTTTTCGCAATTTTTCCTTTTTCTGTACTATAAGACGTTACTACGTGCGAAATTTCAAGATTCTTAGTTCACGGGAAATACCCTATAACGGCTGTATCTTTTGATTGCTTCGGCTTAGAAGTTTGATTTTTTCACAGCTCCAAGGGACAGTAGACATGAGTATTAGATATCAATTTCTGTTTGATACCTCTACGCGTTCCTGAGAAAAACGGTCTTGACAGACGGATAGACGGGCGGACGGACAACAAAGTGTTCCTATAAGGGTTCCGTTTTTTCCTTTTGAGGTACGGAACACTAAAAAAGAACAAAATCAGTTGATCTGAACGAAGTTCTTCGCATTTTTAGGGTAGGGTAGGGTGCCCTATCTGTAACCAATGCTGCCCTACCTTAAATTCGACTCTACAGCCCTGGGGGCCAATCGCCTAACGGAAATGCTTTGGAAAACGCTAACGCTTACGATTTTATTTTGTTATTTCTAGCCGCCTGAGGTATTCAAATGCCTCGCGCTCTTTCTTTTTCTTTTGCATTGGTAATAACAATATTAAAAAAAATGAGCGTGAGGTATTCGAAAACCTCAGGCGGCTAGAAATAACAATATAAAATCGTAAGCGTTAGCGTTTCCCCCAAGCATTTCCGTTAGGCGATTGGCCCCCTGGGGGCCATCCACCTAAGGGAAATGCTTTGGAAAACGCTAACGCTTACGATTTCATTTTGTTATTACTAGCTGCCCGACGTTTTCAAATGCCTCGCGCTCTTTTTTTTCTTTTGCATTGGTAATAACAATATTAAAAAAAAGAGCGTGAGGTATTTGAAAACCTTCGGCGGTCAGAAATAACAAAATAATATCGTAATCGTTAGCGTTTTCTAAAGCATTTCCGTTAGGCGAATGGCCCCCTGGTCTGACAGTTAATGCCGATTTATCGCTTCATTCTTATCCCGTTTCGGTGGTCATGCTAGAGGGGCAAGAATGAATATATACAATTGTAAAAATGTGTGACTTATCAAATCTAATGTAGTGGTGTAGAAAAAAAGTGCGCTTAGAAATATTTTTCGTTTCGAAATACTATTGTATTTATCAAGGAAACATACTTACTTTTAAATTGATTCTGACGATAGTCTCTTCGTACCACAGTAGGTTGTGAAAAAATCTAACGTAGTTTTCTTTGGTAGCGCCGTCGTCCAGACATTTTCTATATAAAAAATAAAATGCTTTTAGTAAACATTTAACAATTCATATATATATTCAAAAGCTATGAAGGATTACAAAAAAATACAGTAATTAATTACTTATGAAATAATTTATACATATCGGTGCCTGTGAAGTTAGCGGCAAATTGCGGTAAAAAAAACATTTGATGTAATGGACTGAGCGTCACTTGCTTGCATGAGTTTGACTACATTCTAGAAAGACCGAAAGCAATAGTGCAGCATTTAGATATTGTTAACATTTGGGCAGGGAAAGTTCAGTTCATGATCTATATGTATTTGATCATCTGAGAGTAGGTACTTACCCTAGACACGCGACTAACTTCACGTCCATCATAAAGTTCGAATTACTTTATTTTAGCTTCTATTATAATGTAATGGTAGCCGCCCGCGACTTTTAGTTTTTCAGAATCCCTAAGAAACCTAAAATTTTCCGGGTTAAAACGTATTCTATCCAACAAATGCAATTTGTTGAAGAATGGAGGCTTTGAAATAACAGCAGATCTCGTGGACGCCCACCTCAGAGATGTGTGGGTTATACCAGGAGATATGTGGGTCAAAACTGGATGCTTAAGGGACAAAACCGGAGAACATGGAGGGTACTGGAGGAGACTTATCTCCAGCTGGACTATTCGCTAGCTTTTTTGGTATTTAAAGTGTGTAACTAAAGAGAAAATTGCATATCGATCGATGTTTTTTCAGAACAAGGATCATGGTGGCTTTATAATAAAGCAGTAGTGGATCACTAAATGGCTCAGTGATGATTACTTCCATGTGCCAAAAGCAGTTAGCAAATAGGCCTTCAGAACTGAACAACAAATGGCTGAAGATGATCCATTCAATACAAGTAATCTATATATATAAAACTCAAAGGTGACTGACTGACATAGTGATCTATCAACGCACAACCCAAACCACTGGACGGATCGGGCTGAAATTTGTCATGCAGGTAGATGTTATGACGTAGACATCCGCTTAGAAAGGATTTTGATCAATTTTACCCCCAAGGGGATAAAATAGGGAATGAAAGTTTGTATGTAACATTGTCAATTTTAAACCGATCGGGCTGAGACTTTGCATGCAGGTATAAGAAGAATCATAGATGAATGTCATTCCAAGCCTGAGAGCAAAAACTGTAGTCTACACTTCAGCTCTACACCGAAGCGAAGCGAGGGCGGGCCGCTAGTAATCTATATATGGGCCAAATTCTCTGCGAGTCTGTTCGGCCGCTTTACGTGATTGTGTAACAAGCATAAAATCCTTGACATTTATAATATACCTATCTATATCGAAGAAAAAGAAATCTATTCATGAATCGAACAAAGAGTTTTTGTAATTGGTCAGTATAACGACGATTCTGTCATCGTCGCTCCGAACAATAGCACCGTTTCATGTATGACGCACATCGAAAAACCATAAAAGTTTGAATGATCGCCGCACATCACAATCCATCATTGTCACATAAAATGTTATTTAAAAAAAACATTTTAACTTTACATTTTATATTGTTTTCATTAAGCGAATCTCTAAATTCTGGGTCCATTTTGTTTCTGAGACGAGCACGAGGTAACAAATAATCTACAGTGCGTCTGTCGTAGATGAATTTCCGTAGATCATTACTGCCGCCTTCACACCCGACGCAATATTGAAAGCTTCATATCAAAAACAGAGCTCCATAAACTCTTTTTAATTAACAGAATACCTAAATAAGAAGCTTGTATTTGGAAATAAATATAATTTGATTTCTTTTCAAACATGTCATGGGAGACTGTGGCCACTTAGCATCAGGTGGCCCATTCACTCGTCTGCCTTTGAAGGCAAAAATAAAAAAGTGTACATACTTACTCCTTGAGGAGCAGGTGAAAAAGTTCCGTTATAATTTTATTTATCCTACTAGTGGCCCGCCCTCGCTTCGCTTCGGTGTAGATCTGTAGTGTAGACTATAGTTTTTGTTCTCAGGCGTGTATTGTACACAATGAATTTATTTATTTAATTCTTTTTCTATGATTATTTTTTTATTGAATAGGTAATAATGTTAACTTTTTTAAATTAGGGATGAGTGAGAGTATTATAAACGTAAGAGTAAACATATATAATCAGAATGCTCCGAACTGCTAAGCTATGAGGAGTTACACGTGTTATTGTGAGTCAACCATAAAAGATAGACATATGCTGTTGCGGGATATTTTTTAGACAATTTGATGTAAAATATTTCCGTCATACATGATTTCTATGTAACTTTATTAATGGTTACATTAAGTCTGCACACGCGACGGAAGCTTAAAAAATGGAGTAACTTCTCCCGTTTTCCCAACATTTCCCTTCACTACTCTGCTCCTATTGATTATAGAGTGATGAAAAGTATACTATAACCTGCCCAGGAGTATGAAGAATAATTGTACCAAGTTTCGTTAAAATCCGTCAAGTAGTTTTTGTTTCTATAAGGAACATACACACAGACAGACAGACAGACAAAAATTTTACTGATTGCATTTTTGGCATCAGTATCGATCACTAATCACACCCTGATAGTTATTTTGAAAATATATTTCATGTACAGAATTGACCTCTCTACAGATTTATTATAAGTATAGATTAAGGGCTGATATCGTATTATACGGACAAAATAAAGAGTTGGCTTGTGTTAATTGGTGTAATGTAACAGATGACATCGCTCTCTATTTCATTGAGTACTAATTTATTGCACAGTTAAGTTTTATCAGAGTTTTGAAAATTCGACCCTAAATATTATAAATGTGAAAGTTTGTTACTCAATCACGCAAACATTACGGGGTAGTTTATGACCTGGATCGAGGACATAGGAAACTTTTTATCTCGAAAAAAAAAAAACGATTCCTGTTGGATTCTGTAAAATCTCAAGTTAACGCGGACGAAGTCGCGGGCGTGTACTAGTTCATCATCATCAGCCTATTAATGTCCCCACTGCTGGGGCACAGGCCTTCCCTATGGATGGAATAGGGAGATTGGACCATGACCCACCACGCGGGCCCAGTGCGGATTGGCGGGTGCTAACGACTGCAGATGCAGCCGGGACCAACGGCTTAACGTGCCTTCCGAAGCACGAAGGAACTCGAGATAGTAAATTTTTGGTCACCCATCCAATGACCGACCACTGCGAAAGTTGCTTAACTTCAACGATCGCAGCCGAACGCGCTAACCACTTGCGCCATCGAGCTCCTTGTACTAGTTATTACATTAAATGAAAGATAATCATACTTGATATCTTCGGCCATATGTTTCATCTCTTCGGGAGCGCCTTCCTGCACCTTGAGTCCGCTGGCGTAAATCTGCTTGTAGTTCTTCGGAATGCCGAATACGTGCGTGTCATTGTTGCTGCCAAAATTGCACATAAATTGATCTACATTTTTATAGCTATTCATTAATTATATACAGTAGGATCCGTTTATTATTACTCTGTCTATATTGACCAACCACTTATTATGAAGTGATTTTACACAGCGAAGTTTGATTTTCATATAAAATTCTTTATAATAAAGTCGGACATAATGACTTTGCTGATAGTGACATGTCGCTTATCATGATTTTCAATAAATTTTATCTAGTTATTTTTTTTTAGCCTAGCTCCAAAGTAAGCACTATAAGGCTTGTGTTATGGGATGCTAGGGTAACGGATAGTATACATATATAAGTATATCTATATAGAAATACATATTAAACATCCCTGACTTGAGTACAAATGCTCGTATTCATCACACAAACATCTGCCCCTACCGGGATTCGAACCCGGGACCTCTCGAGTCGGCAACACCATGAAACCCGGCGTACAAACCACTCGGGCACGGAGGTCGTGTTATTGTGATCGACATGATGCTGAATACCTTGGGCAGTGTTCGAGAGAGTCCGTCACGTGATAACCGTCGACGTTCGACGGGTGCATTGTGTTTTTTACAAGCTTTTATTTAACTTGCTATGTATGTTTGTTACGGTCAAATCTTACAACTCAATTTTAAAGCACTTGCCCTCAACCGATTAAGCTGAAATTTGGTATGCTCGTTCAGTTCGGATGACAATGCATGCTTAACAGTGTGACGTCATTCTAAATCCAATATGGCGGCATACCCAAAATGGCGGACCAATCATTTTTAATGCATTCCTACAATATGGGTATCAAATTAAAGGGCTTGCTGAGAGTAACTCGAAAAAAATGTGACGTCACTCTCAATCCAATATGGCGGACTTCTAAAATTTGAAAATCTATTTAGAAACAAACTTTAACTAAATTTTCTTTTTTTCTTTTTAGCGCATTTGAATAAAAGCTTGTTTTTAAAAAGGTTTTTTTTGTTTTTGTTTTGAGTCTCAGCGGTCCATTGATAGTGTAGGTCGCGTATTGTTTGTTAGTGATTTAACATGTCCCAATGTTTGTTTCTTAGGACACCCACCAGATAATTCAGTTTTTGGTCACCCATCCAATTGCGAGAGTTGTTTAACTTCAGCAATCGTAGGTCAGAGGCGCTCACCACTTGCGCCATTGAGCTCCTCAAAGTACAGGCCATAGCTAGGGTCAGTCAACTTCGCGCCGATGGAAATCGTCACTCATCATCATCATCATCATCATCAGCCTATTAATGTCCCCACTGCTGGGGCACAGGCCTTGCCTGTGGATGGAATAGGGAGATTGGGCCATGACCCACCACGCGGGCCCAGTGCGGATTGGCGGGTGCTAACGACTGCAGATGCAGCCGGGACCAACGGCTTAATGTGCCTTCCGAAGCACGGAGGAACTAGAGATAGAAGATTTTTGGTCACCCATCCAATGACCGACCACTGCGAAAGTTGCTCAACTTCAACGATCGCAGCCGAAAGCGCTTACCACTTGCGCCATCAAGCTCCTCAAATCAAATTGTCACTATATTGTGTGAATTGGCATACCTTCCCATATCGGTCTTCAGGAGAATATTTGCCTTAACTTCTTTGTCAGCGTACGGACTATGCAACTTCTGATGCTGCCTCAGTTTCTCTTCTACAAATACTACCTGAAATTTCAATATATACGCCGACTTTTAAAAACCCTGCCAGCTAATAAACCATATTTTGTGTTCACTAACACTACACCTACTGAAAGTACCTACTGAGTACTCACATAAGTTAGTCACTTCCTAACAATGTTTGGACTGCTCTAGTAACAAGATAAAGCACAGCGCATTCCGTTATTGCTATTTAAAATTTGTAGGCATAGATGAATGATTGGTCTCGCTTGTGGAGTGAAGCGAGACCAATCATTCATCTATGTTTGTAGGTATTATAATTTATTGACCATACAAACGATGGGCAGATGACTTGAACTGGATCAAGAAAGTCAGCAACATGGTCGCGTGAAAGGAAATGGAGGAGGCCTAACAAATTGTATAAGATAGTTCAAATATGGTAAATAAAAGGCTTTTATAAAATTTATAGTGTGCTACAGTAACTAGGTATTATCAAAATCCTAAAGTTAAATTTAGATATATTGGCATGAGTACGTACGTATACAGCTACCTACCAAATATTTTCTATTTACAATTTGTTGATTAAGTGTAAAGATTATTAATTTATGATTATGAATTAATTACACTAATGAAAAAAAAACAGTAACGTTTGAATTAGTAATTCAACCAAACTTTTCTATTTTCGATATACCTAACTATCACTGTATGCTAACTTTCAATAAGTTTACTTACACTCTAAACTATTGATATTTAAATGTATACTTGCCATTCGATATCACTCGTCAGTCTGACTGAATAAATAAACTGCAAGGTCCACTAAGGCACCTCACGGACTAAACGACCACCAGTGGCCGCAACGACCCGATTACCTATAGCTGGCCGTTGCGGCTAAGTGCGTTCGTATAGTTTCTTCTTACTAAATCTAGTCGTTGCGACCACTGGCCGTTTTCATGGGCGTCTAATAGATCAACTATGTTAAAGCACCTCGCGCACTAGACAGTCACGACACGTGGGGCAGTAAAGCATCCATATTGTCGGTGATTTTTAATTCATTAATAATTAACTATGTGTGGGAAGGCCAAAGGGGAAGGTCTTCCTCCGAGCTGGGTGATGGTAGCTCGAGGGCCGCGGCCCTACTGATGTTGGTCGGGCATCGTATATATGAACTGTTGGCTGCCGAATTTCACTTGCGCGATGTAGGCTTCCTTACGTTGTGAACGCAGCGCCGGTAGTGCCATCTCTTGAGGAGGCGTAAGATTGTTTTCCTCTATGTTAGTTATATGTGGGGCGTGTAGATGTCGCCGCCACATATGTATCAAACAACAGTCATTGAAGAAAATAACGTTGTCGTTAGAGTTGCAAAACGATACGAAGCGTGTTCACTCACGAACTGACCGCATGACACTGAGATTGGCTGGTCGCGGCCTGGCCGCAACGATCGGTCGGCCGGCGAGGTTCATATGGTTTCTTTACTAAGGCACCTCGCGCAATAGGCGGTCACGACCACGACCAGTGGCCGTAACGACTACATTAATTTAATCTGGTCGTTGCGGCCATTGGTCGTGGTCGTTCTAGTGCGTGATGCACCTAAATGTAGTCATTGTGGCCTTTGGTTGTGGTCTTGGCCGTGAAGTGAGCGAGGTGTCTAACTCTGTATCAAAACTCCTTGCGGACAAAAACGTCATCGTATTGAGTTGCGAATCGATACGAAGCAAGTCATAGACGAACTGTCCGCATATGACACTGAGAAAGGGTAGTCGCAGCGTGGCCGCAGATCTAGTGGGGGAGCGCTTATAGCAAACTGTACGTAAGATGGCCGCGGCTTAGCCGTACGGACAAGTCGTGCCGGCCCGTGTTGCGGGCAATTGGTCTCTGCAGACAACTGTGCTACTTTTATAAGGCTTCTTTAGTTAATCTGGTCGCTGCGGCCACTAGTCGTCGTGGTCGTGGCCGGCCATCTAGTGTGCGAGGTGCCTAAGTGTACGACACTAACATGCACATAAACAGTTTCTTATCATAATGAAGGGGAATTACCGTTGCAGTGTTACCAGGAATCAGCGCAAAAAATCTATGATACACAACGTGCTTCGCGCTCGCCACACCGTGTGTGGTTCGACACTAAGTAATACGAACTTCAACAAATACTAATAACCGATTTAGGCATGTGCAAAGTCTAAAGCCCACCATTCACTACACGCACCGCGAGCCGAACCCCGAGCCGTACCCATCCGTGGACAAATCCGTCATTGCCCACACACTACACGAGCGTCGAGTTGCAGTCCAGTCGTTTGTGTACTTTGGTGAGCCTCGCGCGTATCGTTCTTCCCTGTATGGATAAATTCTTGCCAAAACTCTTTGTGATCGCCGAACGACATGTTATTATACTCGTTCATGATACAAACACAACTGCAGGCCAATTATGCTCGCTAATTGTGATATTGTTTTGATGTCAATTTCACATTACTCATTACGCTCTCCGAAAAATGCGATATCAAAATGACATCAACTTTAAAATGATATCAACTTAAATGCGTATTACGTTCAACTTTTTGACATAAAACAGTATCGCATAAACGTCAAAAATGTGTCTGTATCAAATTCCTTTTTTTTTTAATGAAAAAGAGTAAAATGGCTCGTTTCGGGTTAGTAATGGACTATTTAGAACGAGCTCATGCCGAGGACATGCGTAGAAGAGATAAACCCCTTGTAGAAGAGATATAATTAGCTCTTTATGTTCGCTAATTGTGATATTGTTTTGATGTCAATTTCACATTACGTATTATGCTCTCCGAAAAATGCGATATCAAAATGACATCAAATTAAGCGTATTATGATCTACTCTTTAAAATGACATTAACTTGATATCAACTTAAATGAGTATTATGTTCAACTTTTTGACCTAAAACATTATCGCATAAACGTCAAAAAAGTGATACAGACGTGATACAGAATTAACAATTTAAGAGGTCGTTCTGCGTGCACGCACTACAAATGACTGACAAGTTCGCCGACAAATCTGTGCAAGCACACACACGTACGGATTTGTACGGCGCGGCTGGGGTGCGGCGCGGCGCTCGCGTCTCTCGACGGCGAGCGCCGCGCCGAGCCGCGAGCCGCACTCACCAATACATTCACACGCGGATTTGTCCGCGGACTTGTCGCCAGCGACAAATCCGGCGGATTGGCGCGCCCGTGAATGGTAGGCTTAAGACTCTTAACCGTAGAGAACAAAAATCACTAAATCTTGAAAAAATGCAAAAACTTGTCACGGACTCAGCGCACACACGGTTTGCGATTATTTGATGTCCGAAATTTAGAGAAGCGCGCGGCATGGACGCAAATATTCCAATATGTTGTTATGGTATTATTAAAACGAACTAAGAAAAAGAGAAGACATTTTAAAAGAGAATATTGAGTCGATCCCTGTAAATCGGATAGAGCGCGCAACGAAGACTAAAGTCCGCTGTGTGCGTTGCCGACTGCTGTACCTATTCCTCACACGAGTTCTATTTTGTTCGGGGATTCCCCCGTACTTATGTCTAGTCCTTTCTGTCGGCGTCCTTGGTTATTCGGGGGATTTTTTGCACCCGGTACTTTTAGTCCCTCGTGTGCTTTACTCTTACTTGATCAGTTAAAAGCGATCTATTTTGGCGGGAAAATCCCTCATATGCGCAAACTTTTTTGTAATTTTTATAATAACCTACGCAGACGACGGCCTTTTGTCAGCGGACTTTTTTAACTTATTAGGTCCATTGAAAAAGAAAATTTATACAAAATCTGCATCTCCTATTAAATAAAGCTTCCATGCGACGGCTTAAAATAAGAACAATTTTATTTCAATACATAATATATTTGCCAACCTTCAGAAGTTTTTTAGTTCAGTTTGTTGTAGGAAATCAGGTAGCCTGACTAGTAATGGCGGTTGGACCATTGTATACGGAACAGCCTGTGCAGTACTTTCGAGATTATTGTATGTGCTATTGTTTCCCGTTTACGTTGTGCGTGAACAAAACTTTGTGAGACATTAAAACACACAAAACAAGATTATGTTGGACCCTACAATACATACGGTACCTAAACTAAATAATGATTGGTCCTGCGGAATTTCTCACTTGTTTGTCTATAGTAAATTCAATATTAGCTTTCTATTGAATATAGTTCCACAATGCTATTAAATAAGATTAAGTATAAAAATAAAACGAAATTATAATGCTCAATAATAAAATGTATTAAAATATTTCAAAATCAACTGAAAAAGATTCGAATTTACGGTGATTGGCATACTAGAGTATAGAGCAAAGAATGGCACACCAAAACTTCGACGATTTGTTGAATTTTAAGTGAAATTCTGCTAAAATACAAGTTTCGCCTAGGCGTCCATAAATTACGTGAGATGTTTAAGGGGGGGAGGGGGTCGAGTCAAATCGCATCTAATCTTACGTTGGAGAGAGGGGGGGTCGAGTCAAATATCACGCAATTTTTTTTCTGATTGAAACAAAAAAAAATATATTATTTTGGTGTATTTAATCCAGATTGTGGTGTCGATTCTGACATGATTCTCTAAACCTAAACTTAAATTTGACAACAGTGTATCCTTGTCGTTCTCTATACAGAATGAAAAGGAGAGGCTGATATTAAATTTAGCTTTAGGTTTAAATAATCATGCCAGAATCGACATCTGTACATGCTTAAAATTTAATCTTAAGCGTACTTAATCGTAATACGATTAAGATCATTCCTATTTCGTTCGAAAGAAGTAACTGTCAGCAATATTGATTACTAGTCTTAACTAGTCGTAAATAAAAGCACGAAGCATTTTTTTTCTTATAACAATAACAATCCAACGCATTTAAGTAAGAAACCCACATTTTGAAAAATCTCACGTGAGATTGGGGGATGTGGGAGGGGGTTGAAAAAAATCTCACGACATCTCACCAGGGGGGGAGTGAGGGACAGAAAATTCAAAAAAAACACCTCACGTAATTTATGGACGCCCCCTATGCAGTAGATATATTTTACTAATTATGTCGTTAAAATGAAACAATAAGTTAGAAAAAAACGAGTTTAAATTCACATATTCCATAAAGACTTCAACAAAGTTGCCATTTCGTAGCATGTGCGAACTGGTGATACTTAAACTTTGATTTTTCATGTCATTTTAAAACTCAAAGTTCAACTGAAGTTTGGGGAATTATCATCAAAGAATAATAAAAAGATATTGCGTTCAGAAGTGTTAATGCAAGTGGGCTAACATTAGTATAGATTCTCTTACTTAAACGTAAAAAGCTAAAAACTTATTAGTATCGGCAAATCAATAGTGAAAATATACCATTCCGTTCTTGTCAATAGAGAGTCCAAACATGTATAGTCTATAATGTTTAAGATGTGTACCTACTTATATATATTTCAAAAAATCTCAGGAAAGTATTATGATTTCTCCCATTAATGGAAGAAAAATAATTTTACGTTTGATTAGTAAACATTATTGGCTACATTCAATAGCGTCAATAAAATTTTCTGTTTCATATAAATTGATGGCAGACTTTCTTTGTGATAGAAACTAAATAACCCATGTCAATTCAATAAGTATTCAAGATGGCAGTAAATTTTGGTATTGGCTTTGATCACTTACCATGTCTCTAATGATAAAAATATTTTCCTTCGTATCTTTCTTCTGCAATAAGAACCCTACAGGCATTTGGTATTGGCCTATTTCATCAGATCGGAATGTCACACAAACATCCCTTTCTAGCTTTTGCTCTGAAACATCAAAATGCAGGTAAACAATTAATGTATATTTAATAATTATGTAATGAAAGGTGACTTCATGAATCATCTCTGAAGTCATTTTTCAATTTGACGACTCTGTAAATAATAAAACAGGGAGAAAAAAAAAAGCCCTTGCTGAGTTTCTTGCCGGTTCTTCTCAGTAAAAGGTCTCCCGCTGTAGATTTACGAACCAATGGCGTAGCTTCTAGACATTCATGAGTGCTTGTAACAGCCTAAACTGAATAAATGACTTTGATTATGATTATTATTATAAACCAAATAATACAGCATGCAAGAAGTGCAGCTAAATTGCTGAAATTTAGTCAGTCATAATATGATACAGGTATCAGGTGAACAACATGTCAGCATAAATAACATTCCTTTGGAGCATAACTTGCTGCTGCTAAATTTATAAAATAATTCCAATCAACTAAAAAAAACTACAGCAATAAGTTTAGAAACTAAAATCTGTATCCTTTTTTTTCATTTTATGTATCTACTTTAAATATTCAAACCATCCATAGTGGTAAATCTAGGATTCAAAATGTGAAATTTCTATTTTATTTGATATAGGTACCGCTATCAAGGCCACCTGTTTATTTTGCAATTTATTGAAAATTTTAAGCTAGTTTAAAGTAATTTTAAGTAGCTGAATAATGAGCCTCTGAATAACCAATGATAAGGGTGTCTAGTTCTGGTGATAAGTAGCTTATACTGATAAGATTTTTGTGTCTCCAGAAAAGTAAGACTTACTTGGCTTTAAACATTGAGGTGCACCTCCTTTATTCAAACCATGGTTGTTCATTACGAAGTTCAACTTATTTGTAGGGATTTGAATGAAGACTACTAATAAATCTTCTTTTTTACTTTCATTGTAAACAGTAAAAATGAATTTAAGCTCTTCCTTAGGTTTCGCCTGAGAAAATACAAAAGTTAGTTTAGGTCATTTATTAAATATATTCATCAAAAGAAACTAAGCAACAAGAAGTTTTTTGAACTTTTGACTGAATTTTAATATTTTTAATTTAATGCTTCTATTGTATTGTTAACAATAACATATTTGGTTTATTAGTGACTAAGGCTCGTATTACAGAATCAGAACTAAGTGTTGATTTTTACTTGAGTTAGAAAGGCATGTCGTTATGTGCTATAAATAGCGACATCCCTTTCTGACTGACTAAGGACTCAAGACTACGCTCAAGACTAGATTCATTAGTGAGAATCTTTCTATAATACCGGCCTAAGTCTTTCCCATTATCGAGTTGTGAGAGTATGCTACAAAATAGATTCATATCAAATCAAATGAGGAATGAAAATAAAAAATATCAACTGATTAAAACAAGCAGTTTGTGTAAATCATGCCGGTTGCTTACACTTCTTTTATGTGTGTTGTACAATCTATATCTCAATGATACAAAAAATGCAAATATCACACAGAGATAACTAAATAATAACTTTAGGAGAATACAGAATATAAAAAATAATACTATTTAAAAAAAAACAACTCACTGAAATTTTAATTTTTGGATCAGCATTGTCAATAATACTTGTGAATGATGATTTCACACTACATGCCACAATAGCACCCTTTCTGTTGCCAGCATGTTTCTTGCTGAAATAATATAGGTAGGTAATATATAGAAACAATAATGTCAATCTTTGTAATTTTGTGATAACACAACATCTTGACGACATTTATGATATCAGTGCTAGGTATGGCAGGTTTCAGAGTGTCGTTTTCACATAGGTACTGGGTTCTCATCCCAATGAGGAAAATGTTTGTATGATGATTATCATTTGTACTAGGTCATGAATATTGATATACTAGAGGTCGCCTATGACTTCGTCTGCGTTAACTTAGTTTCTCGAAAATCCCTCTGGAACCTAACTTTTTTTTTTGATAAAAGTAGCCTATGTGTTAATCTAGGGTGTCAGCTAACTCCATACCAAAATTTTATTAAAATCGCTCCAGCTGTTTAGACATGAAGAAGTAACAAACATACTACACACTCACATACTCACACACTCACAAACTTTCGCCTTTATAATATTAGTGTGACATATATTTTTAGATAAATACACTACTATGTATCCGTTGCTCTAGTATCCCATAACACAAGCCTTACTGTTGTGCTTACTTTGAGACTAGTAAATATTTACATTTATTTTATTTATATATATAGTTGAAAGAAGTTTATATGGCTCTTCTGAGAAAATCAGAAACAATGTAATTGCAATATTGACAGTCTGAGTATTTAGCGTATTTAAGGTGTCCACGGTTGTTGTACCAACAACTTTGTATAACGCTGAATTTATGTTAAACACAATACCACATTGTTTAAAAATACAATGTCACTTAAATCAGAAAACAGGTCATTCAATTGAAGTTCCTTAATGTTGGAGTTTGTGCATGTACAGGTTATTACTTTTCTGTGGTTTTTTAATTGTGAATAAGTTTAAGCACCTAGTAGGAACAAAAAGAGACCAAAGGTGAGTATATTTTACATTGTGATATTGGGAAAATTGTGGTGATATTGTAATATATTGTTCTTTTGCAATTTAACTAGAATTCAACTTGAGATAAGCCTACCTTTCCTCAATTTTTGACTGGTAACTTGTACTGATAACTTTGTACTGTCTCTTTTTTTGCAAATTTGCTAACTTACCTCTCCACTGAATAGTCATATAGAGCTTTATTTTTCAAGTGCTTTGGAGAAATATCATGATCCGGCCCGCTCTTTTCTTCTGAACATAATTTGCACTTCATGTTGATGTTAGCGTTATTGCACAAACGTTTCAGTAAACTGATCTGCCTAGACAGCGCTATTTCTATTCAGGTAATCGGTGAAGCACTGTCACTGTTAATTTAATAATCTATCTTTCTTAGAATTAACACGACTATATAACCTTGAAAGTTTAGGTTTCCCAGAAACCAAAAGTTAACATGCGAATACAAAGTGCAAGTAAACGCCAAAAAAGTCAAAACCATAGAGAAAAGCAATTATGTCCGAACAGCAATTCGTCAAACAAAGAAACGGTATTTTACGGGCCATAAACAAAAGAGCCGACCAGAAACAGGATGTTGCCATCTTAATGCGGGCTTTACAGCATGCGGGATTTACTCTACCCAATTTTAAGGGACAATTGCTCCCTTACGACGCGACCTGACGATTAGGTAGTGAAAACGCTGTTAGACATGGGAGCTCAGTCGACACTCTGAAAGCGTATAGCAGTGATACAAAACTTCCTGATTAATCGGGACATCTACTGATTTTTGCTTTTCCCTCCCTTAGAAAAGCTTAAAGAGGATTTAGCGAACACGTATCCCGATTTTTATATTGTATACTTAAGTAACGATTCATTATATAATGCGATTCAACTAAGAATAGGACCGACTGGGCGCCATATTTTGCGTCATAGCTGTAAATTCAAACCAAATGGGTAGATTGAGCAAAAAAATTTTGCTATTTATTAAAACTTATTTACTAAAACTAAGTGAGACAAAACATCAGATTTTTTAATAACATTAATTTACTAAGGTTGAGAAAGAACACAACCGATTTTTAATAGTATTTCTTTATTAAGACTGTGTGAAAAAAAACATTAATCAGAATCTAGCTCTTCAATTTCGCTCATCTCTGCATTACCGCCGGAGAAATTATGAATAATCATGCAGGTCATATTTTAATGAAATTATGAATAATCATACGAACATGCATCCTATATGTAAATAAAAGTTTTAAATCGAGTTTCGGAATGCAACATAAAGTGACATTTGGTTGACGATATAGGTTATCAACCATTCATAGCCAATACTCAATAAGTGAAAAAAAGAAACAAATAATATTAATTAGCAACATTTGTTATTGTTTGTTTAAAAATGTTTAGTTTTTATTCTAGAATCAGCTGAGAGCTAAAAAAGTGTTTCGAGTTTTTTTTGCAAACCGTACTTTTCAAGCGACATTTGACAGATGGAGGTCATTGGTGTTGTTTTTAATATTCTGAATATACCACACGCATCTGCAAACGTGGGACGAATATAATCATCAATCAATTCATTGAAAACTAAACAGCGCAACAAACTCTCCACTGAATCAATAAAATTGTCTTCTCCACACAAAAAGATATATCGAAGATTGTAATCAACCTTGTTATAATTTAATATTTTCATTTTTGGAGTTTACTCCTTAAGAATTGATTTTCATATAAGGCCCCCGGTATGAAAAAAATATGAGGAGTAAAATCTACTGAACAAATGACCTCGTTACGTTTTTGTGCGCAACCTCATCTGCGCACCTTTCACTTTTCGTGTGTGTATACTTGTGTGTAGCCAGCGTCAATCAACCACGACAATAAAGAAGTATAGTTATATTTCAACGATAGAATCGATTGAATTGATATCTATTGAAAAGAATCGATCGATAAAATAAAATCGCGAATTCTATAATAAATGATTAGCGGACATTTGACGTAAAACAATATTTCTTAAGAGCGGTTTAGTCTTTTTTCTCTGTTGTTCTCTTTTGAGCAAATGAAAGTGTCTCTATCGTTTTTTCACAATGAATGAGAGCTTCAAAACCGTTTTTCTCATAAATAAATAAAAAAAATCAAAAAAACAGCGCTTCGAAGTTATCCTTCTTTGGCATCGTTTAAAATTAGTTTTTAATTGCATGCAAATAATTAATTACAATAAATTAATAAAAAGTCTGGAAAAGGACACAGTCAATAAAGTTCAGTTTTAATTTGAAAAAATAAATAAATAATCAAAATATTCAATTAAAATCGCTACTGAATATAATTTATTAGAACATATGTGATTTGCACTTGTATGAAACTCAAACACGTATTCCGAATAAACAAACTAGAAACATGTGGATAAATATTATAAATATGAATACCTATAACTGTTACTTTATTACAAAAAATAAAGATGTGGTTTTTGGTTCTACTACACCAATGTTTAAGAGATGGCGCTGTAGTCTCCTGAATCGCGCTTTGGTTCCGTTGTTCCAGATTAATAAATACTTTTGATAGGCCTTCACAATGCAGTCGTTAGCACCCACTAAACAGAGATTCTATTTCTATTTTGTTGGTAGATTTGCTTAATGTGCGGTAAACACAAAAGTAACAGCATGAAGTTGGTCGCTGTGTAAAATTTTGTGTTACAGTGATGCGCGCGCATCTTAAAATTTCACTCTCATAAATTATTTTTCATAACGCGCCTAAAGAAGTATAACTTCAAAAATTCTGAAAATTATCACGCCTTGATATAATTTTTTTTTAATACGCTTTTATTAGCTTTTGGTGTATCTCTACTTGTAACCGACTTCTTCGGACTTGATTTTGTTTTGTGTCTATTCAAAGACAATCGTTTTTAGAGTGTAAGCTCCGGTCGTGCGTCGGAGCTGAGACACACATTTTTTTTTTATAAATAGCAAGTAAGATGTGGCGAGTAAATGACGAATAAGCAATTACTTTACCTGATTATGTTTTTAATAATTTATGTAAATTAGTATCACAATATACTGTTGTTTAATTTTGCCAAAAAAAACTCCCGAGTTCTCCCGATTAATACAAGTAAAATTACCCGATTTTTAAATTTTCACTTTTGCAACACTGGCGTATAGTAGGGATCCAAAGACTTTATATAATACCTAGACTGTGCACGAAAAAAAATAGTAAATCTAAAGTAAGATTTATATCTGTAGTAATAGGATAGCTATTATCTTGATAAGCGGTCGCTAGTAAAAACGGTCCTGATTGAGAAAGCACCCAACGGTAGTGTGTCCCTTTCTAACGTCTTGCCAGCTCAATTTATCATTGGGTTTGGTAGAAATTGTAGAAAATGTCATCCTTTTCTATTTGTGATTTACTGATTAATTACCAATACGAACGATTCGTAAACTATGAAACGTATTTAAACATTTCTACAATTCCTATAAATAATAAAATAATCATTGATATTTTTAAAATAAATCTAAATACAGAGTAAAAGTAGTATTTAATTAGTTGAGCCTGGTAATACTGAATGTAAGATGGTGATTTGTTCACTTGATGACAATGACAATGATGACACTTGATGACAATGACAATGATGACACTTGATGACAATTTGATATTAAATATTGTAAATTTGCTTAATAAAGTGTATTTTTTTAAAATGGTGAACTCGTGTTGTGTAACAGGGTGCTACAATGAATCTTATCCCGGTAGCCCTTTTTATTTTCACGGGTAAGTAAAACTTATAATCATATTCATTAGGTGAACCATGAATTTTGGAGGTAGATGAGTTTTTTTTTCTTAACATGAGTTGTGTGAATTTAATGAATCAATTATTAAATAATGCGGTCGCGGTTACTTCCTTGATCCATAGTACTTTTTAGAGCGTTTTTAGATTCGTATCATCATCATCATCATTAACCTATTAATGTCCCCACTGCTGGGGCACAGGCCTTCCCTATGGATGGAATAGGGAGATTGGGCCATGACCCACCAGGCGGGCCCAGTGCGGATTGGCGGGTGCTAACGACTGCAGATGCAGCCGGGACCAACGGCTTAACGTGCCTTCCGAAACAGATGTTTTAGGTCACCCATCCAATGACCAACTACTGCGAAAGTTGCTTAACTTCAACCATCCAGCCGAACGCGCTAACCACCTGCGCCATCGAGCTTCTCGCAAAAATAGTAAAAAAAAATAATAATATATTTTTTTTTTCTTGTATTGTGTAGATTTCCGAAGAACGAAAAACAGGAATTGATGTGGGAAAATGCAGTGCCTGGAAAAAATTCCGATGAATCTCATGAATTGGAATTCATTAGATGTATTGGTCAAAAATACTTAAATTTAAGACATAGAAGCTACGGGAAGTCCTTAACCCTTGAGCACGTTGGACATAAGGCTACATTGCGACAAAAACTGCGCAAAACTATATTATTTAGCAATGTATAAAAACCAATTTTAATAAAAATATTGTAAACAAATGATTGTCTTTTTTCCGTCCAGAATCTGATGAATTTGATTTGGCATTGACCGATTTATCTACCTCACAATATGTGGGTCCCCCTTACCTTAATAAACATACTTTTAAGAGTACTTTCCCATCAGGTGACTGGTATTACAAAATTCCACCCTCTTTATCTAACCTCAGTCCAAGCCAAGCTACGCGTGCTAGTTTAAATACCGAATGAAACAGTTCATAGTACCTATGTATTATTATTTTTAAAACCTACATAACTTCGTTTGGTCTGCGTTTAGAGGTATATGCATAGATGAGATTCTTCATATTAATTAACACTACATAGTCTAAATTACGTAAAATAATAAGTTTTTGTCGATGTAACAGCAAAAAAAAAGTGCCAAAATCAGGTTGCCTTTATACATTTTTGTTTCTTAGGTTTTCACGCACATCACTCATTAAATAAAACTAGTTTTTCACGGGTTAATGCACGAAACTTTATTTATTTATTAACGTTTCGCAGCCTTTACAGGCCGCGTCGTCGGAATTTGTCATGATACAAAGACTTAGTGTAATTTTTTATTACACTAAGTCTTTGTATGATGCACTTAGCAAGTTAAAAAATACGCCATATAGTTTTAATTTTAACTCATAATCACAAATTACTAACATGTTTAGAGTAGCAGATACTAAACACAATCCTCTTTACAAGCTATATTAAATAACAAATACTAATAGCAAATTTTGTCCCGCGTTACGCTTGAATATGGTCACTTCATTAGAAAGGAACACACTACCATTAGAAGCCCTCTCGCCCGGACCGTTTTTAACGCGATGGTGCACAGTCTAGGTATAATATAAAGTCTTTGTAGGGATCACTGTGGTATGGGCAGCGTTGCCATTTGACATCTATTGATGTCATTTTGACCTACTGGGTGTATTCCGTAAAATATACCAGTATACGGGCCAGTGCTAATGACGTCATGAATCGACGCTATACTGGTGAATTGTTCCGAAATATATTGGCAAGTGCCAATGTCAACGTCCATAATTCGATGAAATATTAAATAGTGCGAATAAAGAAGATTTTTTATTCACCTCGTCAATTAAAAGGAATTCTTTTTGTTCGGATGCCATTATTGATCTTTAAATAAAAAAGAAATAAAATTCGAATGCATCTCACGCACGCTCAGTCATACGTCATAATTGTTTTCCCGGTAAAAATATGGTAACATACCAGTACAATATGGCGTCGGATTCGTGACGTCATTACCACTGGCCAGTATACTGATATATATTTCGGAATACAACTCCTATGATAAGACATCCTCTTGGCAACAAAGCTAGTTTTTTTTTTAGTTCTATTCTCCTTTATTGAGAAAGGCAAAGGCATAGCCATGCAGCCATCGTCTAATTTTTGTATTAATCTTCCTTT